ATCGTAGTGTGATGAGAAAAAAGAAAAATCAACTTCAGATTTCATCACATATTATACCTGACTGTGTATTTAACCTGGATGAGTTTTGTAAATTTACTTGATGAGTAACATATATTAAATTTGAAATCATTATTTACATGTGTGTCATGGCCCCATTTACAGTCAGAAAAGAGGACAATATAATGTTCACATGTATGTTGATTTAGAATTGTTATTGCTGAGTGTAGGAAGATGGATTGGTTGGCTTTGCAGCAAATCGCTCATTAACCTTTTTACCTCTATGAGTGACTAGAATCTAATTTCTCCTTACAATATCACCCCCTGATCACAAAATAAGGTCATGAGAATAAAGGAAATGATCACCAACTACAGAGGCTCTTGATTGTTAAACAGATTCTCCTTGTCAGCACCCTAAGAAATGTATAGAGAACAGTATCGGGAAAATGCAAACTGATGTTTGCTTGTAAAGATTACCTTTGAACCATAAAAACTAAATAATGAACATCTTACCACATGACTGCCAAACACAAGTTGCCAAATTGACAACATCCCTAACAATTATACTTACTGTCACACTCAAAAACTATTAAAATGCCATATGACTTTGTAAAACTTACCACAAAGTTTTTCTTAATGTGAGCAGGTGTAATGCTCTTAGGTATAACAGAAAAACCACACTGTATCTGAAAGCGGATGCAGACCTGCGCAGGAGACTTGCCATATTTATTGGCAATGGCCACCATCTTGGGATCATCCAGAAGGTAGGGATCTCCAGGTTTTGCCCACGGATGATCAGGTGATCCCAGAGGGTTGTATGCCATTACTGAGGTAAAGGAATAAAATGTGTGCAGATTATTTCACATTGTGTGGGAGATGCTGTGGACATCAGGTAAAGAGGTACAGATTTAGGACCTGAACTATATATAGCTGTGCATTTGTTAACCCTTAAACTACAAAAGTGATTAACATGTAACTTCTCCCAATAATATCATATTATCCAGCAAACATGTAATAAGAAAACTCAAAATTATCAAGTGGAAGTTATCTTGATCTAACACCAAAATGCAGTTAAATGCAATTTAAAGGAGTTAAAAACAAAGAGCACTTGCGTTTTCTATTAGTCAGAGGTTCTTACATATGCGTGTGCGCCGGAATTCCATGTGTTCATCGTTGGAGGCGTTCTTGCGCACACTTTGAGCATGTACTTGTAGCCTTGTGAGGAGTGGCAGCTCTTCATCCAAGCAGTTTTTCCCCACTCATTCCCTCCTTGTTTCCACTGTTTATTCAGTGTGAGGGGTGCCTGTTCCCCTTTCCTGTTTGGGGGCTCACGGCTGGGTTGCCAGGATTTGCCAACCATGGGAGAAGTCTTCATCTAGGAGCTGGCTGTCAATAGTGAAAGCTCCTGGATGTTTCAGGCACCCAACCTCCAATCAGCGATGCAGTTGTTAATTCCTGCAACTAGTTTACGAGGGAAAATTGACAGAAGTAATTCACTTAAATTCTACAGGTAAACACGTAAGGAAAACATTATAAAGCGACTCAAGAGAACTCTTGTCTGAGGTAAGCACATTGTCTGGATAATTGAAATGTTCAGGGAAGCTATCAATAATTTACAAGCGACCTGGGTGAGTAGAATATTAGGTTTAACTAAATCAGTTAAAGCTCTAACCACGAAAATATCATTCCTTTTCGTGGAGCTTAGGACTACACGAAAGGCGAAGAATTTTGCAACGTTATTTCTAAGGAAAACAAGTAACGTGCAGCAAGTCGCTTTGCAAAAATTATTGCGTTCGACGTTAGAAGGCAGCCCATAGTCTTGAGATTCCTATAGTACTCAAGGGTGACCATTTGTGGTACCCATTTCCGTCTAGCCTACAGAGCAGGCGTAAATTTGGCGAGCTATTGCTCAGTAATTTCTTAACGAAAATTATGGCCGCCATCTTTGATTTTGTTGGCAGAGGAATGCTGGGGAGAGAAAGAAATTTGTATCAATGGGGCGGTCGACGAACGAGGAGAGAGGGGGTGGAGAAGTGAAGAGTCTATCCTTCCCCGCCCCCCACCGTCCACTCTAACGGTCAAACAGTAACTCAGACATGGCCAGTCGGATAAAGGATCGCGAGCATATAACGTGAGCTCGCACATATAAGACGCCTGCACTACAGGCTGATTAACGTCGTACGTCTGCACTTTCTGCGCCATCATGAATAATTGATCTCGTTTTGTCCACGTCACATTCCGATGCACTAATGGCAATCGCGCCCCCTGAGGCAAGTAGTTTAACTGGAAGAATTTTGAAGGCGGTTTAACCGAAGAAATATTGAAGGCGGTAATTTCTCGCGTTTGAGGTAAGCTTAACTGTTTTTTCAGACTTTTCTAGCTAACTTTTATCCATTGTCCAAGCCTGAGGGAAGTTTGCGTTACTTCTAGAACATTAGGAAACTTATTTCAAACGAGTTATGTTCTTTCGGGAACAATAACGCATTTCTCGCCGATCTTTCCATGGTGGCCATCTCACAGCAAAGTCACAGGCGGCAAGTCGAGTTGTCTCTTTACTGTACAATATTTTCCACCTTGCCTTCAATTCCTCTGCAGTCCTCTGGTTTAAACTTGTTTACCTGACAGCGTAAAGGGTACCCATCCATTCGTTCCCTGTTTGGTATAAAGCCTGCGTTAGTACGAAAACCAGACAAAACCTTAAATCTACACCACGAACGCACTTCATAATCAATGATTACTACTAGTTTATTAAAGCTGCATCAGCGGGTCGTTAAGATCAAATTCTAATAGACCACAGCCGGCCCAAGCTCCAGTTGTGAGATGATTATCTTGCGCAATAACAGTCATGGCGGAATTATAGACTTTGCAATGTTATGGTCACCACAAACTTCAATTATCAATGTACAAACTGAAAATCCAGAAGTCTTAAAATTCTTACATTTTCGCGGTTGAAAAATGGATGAAAAAAATAGTAAGGTTATGGAAATCGTTTCAGCCTTTGTAGACAACTTTCGGTTTTTCCTGGAACTTCGCGTGACCTTAGTTAGACTAGCGTGACATACATCGAGTACTTCCGGTTGCATCAAGAATGCACCTTGAACTCTCAAATGAAAACTTAAATTGAGTTCATTTCGTTAAATTAAACCCAATTCTATATATTGCAGAAGTTCAAGCAATGGTCAAAATAATTTTTCTACGAATTGTGCTGTATGTGGTTGCCTGCAATGTCCTTTGCCTCCATGTCAGCAGCCATTCCAGTGAAAAATACTCATGGAAGAATAACGAGTTTGGAGAAAAGGGATCTATAAGGGTAAGAAGTGAATTATTAGTCATTGCTATTTAATTGAGACTCTATATATTTTTTTCAATATTAGGTTTCTAACTGTTATGATTTTAAGTCAGTCTGTGAAGGCCTCAATGAAATGACAACTTTTTCAGTGAACGGTTAAAATTTTGGCGAATTAACGGCTAACGATAAACCGGTAAACCAGTGAACGGTAAACCGTTTTCTCATGGTTAACTTTTTCTATGACTAATGGTTAAAATTTGTCGATTGTTACGCCTAACAGTTAAATATTTTGACCGGTTTACGGCTAAAGGTTAATCCATTAAGACTTTGCAGAATATGTCCTCTGTTCCCATTCGACGAAGTTTCCACAAATAATTAAATAATTTCAAGCGTGTAAATAAGTGTAGTGTATACATGTATAGTGAGCATACAGCAGAACAAATGTTGTGATAACAACGATATAAAAGAACTTTTTTTGAGACGTTTAAAAGAATTGATTGAAACTATTAAAAACAGTAATAAAGTAAACTGTGTGAATGCAAATAAGTCAGGCCTTCGAAATCGATACATATGTGAGCTGATGACCAAAATAAATGCACCAATGAGAAGTCTAAAAAATCAATATCTGAATTCCACGTCAAGGGGGTGGGGGGGGGTGCAGGGGTGACTTTCTTCTTTCGAAACTTTTACTGATAAATAAGTAAGTGAGGTAAATATTTGATTTTTTTGTCTTTTGTTTGTTGTAGAAACAAGTGTCAGAATCTAGCTGCAACAATAGTCAAAGCATTTCTGAACTCAGGGATGCGATAGACAAGTTGCGCTCAAAGTCAGCTGATTTTCCTGGATTCCAAAAAGAACTTGATGAGGTGAATACCTTGATGGGAAAACTGGAAGACAAAAAATTCAGTTCCAAAGACAAATCGAATGAAGAATTCTATAAAAAATGAAAACACTTATTACAACCACTACAGATAACATTGAAAATTTTAAAAGTAACGAGTATCTCAAAATTTTAAAGGGTTTTCTTGAAATTGCCTCAAGCCTGGCAGACCTGGTTTACCCTGGTCAACCTTTCAGCTTAATTTTTTGGTCACTTTCGAAAGCTGTTGGCGTGTTGATAACCGAAAGCAAACCAAATCAGCCAAGTTTGCTACACCAACTAACAAATGTTGTTCGCAGTGAGATGATTCACTTTAACAATAGGTTACAGGATCAGAAATATAATGGGCTTCAACATCGCTCGTCAGAACAAATTTTTCAGTTGCAGCAAATGAAAAAGGGAGAAAATTAGATGATCCTACTCTGTGGAATGATTACGTGCAATTTTTGGGTGAGCTTGCAAACAGGTTTGAGTCACCGCTTCCTTTCAAGTATGAAAATAAGCCGACAGAGGATCCCAATGTGAAAGATTTCGTAACAGCCATAGTTAAGTACTCTGAAGCTCACTCCTGCTTCATAACTCTTCTGTTCATTGCCAAAGCAAAATTTGCAGAATTAGGAAATGCGCACAAAGTTGACATAGCCACTGTGGACCGTAAAATGATTTTCCAAATTAAAGAAGCTAGAGAGAAACTCTTTTCTGTCAGAAAAGAGATTTTTGACATTTTTTGGAAGAATCAAAGGCGGAAAACTCACCAAAATTGTGGCTTTAAGCCGAAGAATTCGTGGTAAAAGCCTGGTAGAAACCGTTCGACACAGCTTGGGTTTGTCACCAATGCCAGATTTATCGACAGTCGAGTCTTCTGCGAAGAAAGTGAGTCAACAGGCAGTGACTTTGAGATCAGCAAAGAAATGCATTTGTTCTCCTTTAACGTACTTTGCCATCCAGTATTCCACTCAGTTTATCAATGATGCTGACATTCCGATAAAGATTGTTTCAGGTGAAGTCGGCCAGAGTCGGGGGAACCAATTTCAATTTGAGCGAAACCTTCCACCTCGCTCATCGCATCACCAGACGACTTATTCCGGCTTTTCTACTGGTGGGTACATAGTTCTGTACTTAAACGGCAATATGTTGGGCTCTGATTCAGAGAATACCAGAGTTATCGAATTTGCAGTGTCAACCATATTTGATGGAAAAAGTATACTAAATAAAATTGGCATGACAGACGAAACTGATGCAGAGTTTTTGCGAGGTCAGAATGCTTACGACAAGAGGTCTGCAGACAATGTAACTCTGTACTTTTCTGAAAATGAAAGATATTTCATTGCCAAAGCTGAGACTTTTGTATGTTGGCCCAATCGCACTTTTCGATTCATCATTCAAGACTTTGACCCAGAAGCTGTTGGAGATGGAAAACATTAGGAAAGACTCTCTCGTCCATTGACTTCGTTCCCAGGGTCTCTCTTCCACAAACCTATATTAGATAGAGAGGGGAGGGTGGGAAAACGAGACACCCTGAGGGGAATGAATGTCAGAAAACTTAGAAAATAGAGCCAGACAAGTTGTTGCAAGAGTGCAATACATCTCCTCCTTTCCCCACCAAACTCTAATCCATACTTTAAGTTTATTGGTAGACTGAGCTTATTGCCAAGACACAGGCTGAAATTCTGTCTTTTAATTTTTTTATTACTAATAAAACTACAGGAGAAAATATTTCATTTGAAAATTGTTCAGTTGAATTTTAAAATTCTATTTGTTTTCACTAAACCATGTTTAAGTGTTTATATTGTTACTGAGCTACCCTGCATGTTGGGCTTTGAACACCAGCATTTAATATCACAATTTTGACTCCTAAATGCTTTTGAAACAACTAACAAAAATTCTGAAGACCAATTTTCACCACAATAATGAGCAAAAAATATAAATTAAAACACAAATAACAAAGAGAAAAAAGACCCTCATTAGAACCCATCTGCATGTAAATATTTGTGGCCGATTAATATGGTATATTGAATGGGAAATGAGGATGGACAGCATCTCTAGGAACTTTCTCACCATCCACCTGCAAATCCAAATTATCACAGAAAAGATTTAAGTCCTTTTCATCATCACTAAGTATATTTATTTGTTTCTCAACTCCAATAACTTCAATTACAAAAGCCTTACACCATGATATGTACAATGTAACACCTTTGTCTGGCTCACTTAGACTAATTTTCCTTTTCTGTATCTACATATTTACATAGTTAGCTCTTAGAATTTAGAATTGAATCAAGTAGTAACTCCCTCGTTAATGATTTTCATTATTCTCATCAATTCTATGCTTGATATCATTTTGACATTGTGAGAAGAAATCACTTACTGGTCACTCCCAGGAGTGAAAGAGCTAAACAGATCATTCATTTTCATGCATGCTGTTCCTGAAAATTTCCCAACACCTTTACTATGAAAGTTACAGCTTTAAAAACATCCAAATTCTCCCAAATATCACAGCTGAACCAAACATGTGGTGTGATGAGAATAAAGAAAAATTAACTTCAGATCACAACACATATTATACCTGACTGTGTATTTATCCTTGATGAGTTTAGTAATATTACTTGATGAGATATTATTAGCATGTATGTCATGGCTCCTGTTACTTTCCTATTCTGAGGCCATTTTGCAGTTATAGATCTTAAGGCCTGAGAGACAGTGAGAAAAGAGGACAGTATAATGTTTGCGTGCATGTTGACTTGGAGCTGTTATTGCTGAATGTAGGAAGATGGATGGGTTAGCCTTCCAGAAAATCATTCATTAACTTCTTGACCTCTATGAGTGACTAGCATCTAAGTTCTCCTTACAATATCACCCCTAAATTGCACATTAAGGTCATGAGAATAAAGGAAATGATCAGCAACTAAAGAAGCTCTTGATTGTTAAACAGATTCTCCTTGTCTGCACCTTAAGAAATGTAATGGTTGTAAAGGTTAACTTTAGACCATAAAAACTAATAAACATGTTACGTGTACATCTTGCCACATGACTGCCAAATGTAACAGGCATAAGGTAAAATGTGGACTAGACTATTTTTTTTTACCATTTTTTGGATCATTTTATAAGGGGGGGGGGGAAAGCACACCATTAGTACTCAGGAGGGGGGGCAGTCTCTCAGTACTGAGGGAGGGGTGGGAGGCTGAGAGTGTTATCACTCAGGGAGGGGTGAGAGACGGACTATTACTACGCAGGGAGGGTGGGAGGTTGTTGTAATAGCAAACGCTTCTGGTTAATAGAGCTTTTACTCTATCATACAAATTATTTTGATCGGTTTTTCGACTGACTTTTATTGAAAATAGCGCGTTTACGATCCCTCACTGTTGCGTTTCGCGTGTGGCTTTTGAGTCGACCTGTGCACCATCAGTTGCTTTACGTTTCCCTTTGTTTATTTAGTATATCATGACTAAACTTATCTATCTTCCTTTTGCAATTGACCTTATTAGACAAGATCAAGGAATTCTTTAGTCCTTAATCCTTAACTTAGCAGCATAGAATTCACAACCGCTATCGCAATTTTAACGTTTACACCTTTACTATATAAAATCATTGTTGGTACAATCGCACAAAGAAATCTTCTCACTTTTCAGATACACAATTTTCCCCTTTTTGATACAATAAACACATGCTTGAGTGTCATGTCACACGTTCCACTCCTTACATCGATGATTAAAACAGCGCAGCGTCAGCTCTGGATAATTTACAATGGTAATTGAATTGAGTAGATTGCAATTTGGGCTGAAGCCATACGCGTGATTTGAAATCACAAGTATGATTTCAGACCAAAATTGTACGACACGAGGTTCAATAGCCACTTTAGCTTTATTACATCCATTTTGAAATAGCTTAAATACAGGACTTGGTCAGTTCAAATATTTTATTGATGCAGTGCTGAGCCGGTTTGAAATTAAATTCATCAATTTTTGGGGGAAAAAATAAGAGTTTTGGAAACAAAAGTTGCAAAATTTGCCACATGATACTCTTTGTCTTTCATTTTTCCTGCAATTTGATTGGTTTCTTTAAACAGGCCTTGAAATCGGATTGGTTGTTTTGTTTTTAGTGTGGCCTCCTCATTGGCTGGGGAAAAGATCCGATTTAAAGCAAAAATGGTGCGATTCGTGAATAAATCGCACCAATTAGAGCTAGTCAGATTACAGGGACCACCAGTGATTTCAAAATGGGTGTAATAAATCAAATAACTTGTTTGACTTTTTTGGGTTAGGGGCGCAATTTTTCTTTCACATAGCCACTGCACTGATTCATTAAATCCACACAAGTGCAAATTACAGAATTACCTTTTTCGCAAATTACAGATTTCTTATTCACAAATGAGGGAATTCCCTTTCGCAAATTACCAATTTGAGTTAATCTCACAAAAAAATTTTTTTCTTCATTTTGTATCGTTTCGCAAATCAGGGTTACCTCATCACGGTTAACAGGTCTAGCCTTTTTGTTAAAGAGGCGAAAGCGGCTTTTCCAATGATTGGTGAGAAAGCTTGCATTCATCGGAGAAATTAGCCTGACAGAAAATTCGATATCTTGGAGGAGTGACTTTGCTATCACAAAATCAATGTTCACTGGAAAGCCCAATGATACAATTGACCGGTTGTATGAGTACTGACTTTACGTTCGATGATTATCGATCACTGCTCGTTCCATGAAGATAACTCATTTTGCATTTATTGTTTAACCAAAATGACTGTTCCCAAAGTTACAAACAGAGCGCATGAATTAAGAGTTTTGTTATCGCGCGGGAGTATTCGTGGAGCACGCCCACTCCGTTTTTTATCTTTTTTTTTCTTAAACGAGCGAGTACGCATAATTAGCGGCTAAAGTAACACAAATTGTAGGAAGAGATTATTTATCACGTTTTGCTATTATAGGGTCAATTTCTACCGACTCTAATACTTGTAGCGCTACTTTTAAATAGTAGCTTCTTACGAAACTGTCGGCTTGTCGAACAATGTGAGGAAATTTCTTCCTCCATTTGTGGATACAGCATGGAAGAAGAACTTAAATATATAAAAGTATGGCAGCTCCGCCCTCTTGCAAGGCGCAACTTTCAAGAAACAAAGACTCCCTCTATGTAGCCTATCGAAATCAATTAAATAAAGAGCTGGGTCTCTAAAGTACATAGGGAAATGACAATTCTTACAGATTATTAATAATGCGTCAATTATTGTTTATCGATAACAGCAAATGCAACAAAAAAGGTGGTATAACAGGTATAGACAGAAAATTTATCGTTGCCCATTTCATCACAGCCCACAAACTTTAACTTTATTTGTAAAATTTGATTTTTTCCTCATTTTTGCATAATATTTTGATTTGGCCTGCGGTTAGCACACACTTATCACTCTGACTTTTTCAGAAATTGGAAAGAGATTTTGTGTTCTCTCGAGTCATTGCAAAACATAGGAGTCGTTTTGTCATTGTCTCCAAGAGGGCTTACTGTAATTTACGAAACGAAACAAAATGAAAAAATGTTATTGGTGAGATTAACTCAAATCGTTAATTTGCGAAAGGGAAATACTTCATTTGTGAATTAGAAATCTGTAATTTTCGAAAAGAGGTAATTCTGTAATATGCACTTGCGTGGATTTAAAGAATAGATGCATCGGCTATGTGAAAGAAAAATTGCGCAATTAAGCCATAAAAGGTAAACCTGTTATTTAACTCCCAAAATCAAAGTTTTATTTTTGCAATGTTAGCTCGTTGCTAGCTACAACAAGAACAACGATATGCAGCATATAGTGTTATTACTTTTCGAAAACGAAGACATAAATTCGCGCTTTATCAGTCATATCTCAGCTAAAAAACCTTATATAAAAAAAGTTATATTTATGGGGGACTGGTGTTAGGCCTGAAGAATTTCGTAACCAGGACTACTCGATTTTTTTTGAAACCGAAAGCTCTAAGGATGAGGAAATAGTCATTTTGTCTGCGCATGCGCCATAATACTTAAAGTTTACCCGTTCCGCATCAGAAAGCACGTTCACTGAGGCAATTCAGTTAAATTCTACTAACACGTAAGGAAAATATCATACAGCGACTCAAGACTAACAAAGATAAGAAAAAAAAGCATGTTTTGATCTGAGGCAAGAGAACTCTTGTCTAAGGTGAGTACGTTGTCTGGAGAATTGAAATGTTCAGGGAAGCTATCAGTAATTCTCAAGCGACCTCGGAAAGCAAGAATAAAATGTTTAATTGGAGCTCTAACCACGAAATTATCGCCCCTTTCGTGGAACTTAGAGCTACACGAAAGGCGAACAAGTTTGTATCATGACTGAGGAGAAACGTGTGGCAATTCACTTAGCAAAATTATTCATAAACCCGCAGTAGCGTGTTGTTTAGATCAAATACTAATATATTGTTCATGAAAATGTTTGTTTCGCAGTGAAATTTATTTGCAATATTATGGTCACCACAAACTCCAATTATCAATGTACAAACTGAAAATCCAGTAGTCTTAAAATTGTTATATTTTCGCGGTTGAAAAATTGAAGAAAAACGTAACAAGGTTATGGAAATTGATGGCCCTTGCAGACAACCTTTCGGTTTTTCCCGGAAATTCGCGTGAACTCGGTTAGGCTAACGTGACATACATTCAGTACTTCCGGTTGCTTCAATGATACACCCTGAACTTTAAAATGAAAAATTAAATTGAGTTCAGTTCGTTAAAGTCGCCCAATCTTATATATTGCAGAAGTTCAAGCAATGGTCAAAATCATTTTCCTGCAAATTGTACTGTATATGGTCGCCTGCAATGTCCTTTGCCTCCACGCCAGCGGCCATTCCAGTGAAACATGGCCACAGAAGAACAGTGAGTCTGGAGAAATGGGATCCAAATGGGTAAGACACGAATTATTTGTCACTACTATTTAATTGAGACTTTTTTTCTAGGTTTTTTTTTTGGGACTTTTTTTTAGGTTTCTAACTGTTATGATTTTAAGTCAGTGTATGAAGGTCTCAATAGAGTCACGACTTTTTCGGCGATCGGTTAAAAATTTGGCCATTAAGCGGCTAACGGTAAACGCCAGAATTGTTTTTTCGGTTAACTTTCTTTATGACTAACAGTCAAAATTTGTCATTTGTTACGCCTAACGGTTAAATATTTTGGCCGGTTTACGGCTAACGGTTAACCCATTGAGAGCCTCTAGAATATGTCCTCAGTTTCCGTTCAATCGAGTTCCTCTTGCCTTCAAGTTTCCAAAAATAATTAAATCATTTCCAGCATGTAAATAAGTGTAGTGTACACATGCATAGTAAGTATACAGCAGAGCGAATGTTGTAATAAAACGACATTAAAAAAGACTTTTTCGAGGCGTTTAAAAGAATTGATTGAAACTAGTAAAACATTAATATAGTAAATAGAACACTGATAACTGTGAGTGCAAATAAGTGAGGCCTCGGAAACTGATACGTATATGAGCTGATAACCGAGATAAGTGTCTAGTGGAAGCGAAGGGGAAGGGGTTATTTTCTTCTTTCGAAACTTTTACTGATAAATAAGTCAGCAAGGTAAATATTTGATTTTGTGATCTTTTGTTTGTTATAGATACAAGCGACGCAATCTAACAGCAAAGATTTTCAAAGCATTTCTGAAATAGAGCATGCGCTAAACGATCTGCACTCAAAGTCAGCTGGTTTTCCCGAGTTCCAAAAAAAACTTGATGAGGTAAAGGCCTCGGTGGAAGGACAGAAAGGCAAAAACAAAGACAGTTGCAAAGGCAAATCGGATAAAATATCCTATAAAGAAGTGAAAAAAGTTATTACAACCACTATATCTAGCGTTGAAAAATTTAAAAGTAAAGATCCTCTGAAAATTTTAAATGGTGTTCTTGACATTGTTGCAAGCCTTTTAAACCTGGTTGCCCCTGGTAAACCTTACGGCTCTATTTTTCGGGAACTTTCGGGAGCCATTGGCGTGTTGATAACAGAAAGCAAACCAAATCAGCCAAGTGGTACAGCAACTAACAAATGTTGTGCACGATGAGATGATTCACTTTAACAAAAGGTTACATGATCAGAAATATAATGGGCTTAAACGTCGCGTGTCAGAACAAATTTTTCAGTTGCAGAGAATGAGAGAAGGAGAGAAATTAGATGATCCTTCTCTGTGGAATGATTACGCGCAATTTTTGGGTGAGCTTACGAGCAGATTTGAGTCACCACTTTCTTTCAAGTATAAACAATACCTGACAGAGGATCCCGATGTGAAAGATTTCGTAGCAGCTTTAGTTAAGTACTCTGAAGCTCACTCTTGCTTCATGGCTCTTCTGTTCGTTGCCAAAGCAAAATATTTAGAATTAGGAACCGCGCACGAAGACGACGTAGCCACTTTGGACCGTAAAATGACTTTCCAAATTAAAGAAGCCAAAGAGAAACTCTCTTTCCTGTCAGAAAAGAGATTTTTGACATTTCTCGGAAACATCGAGGGCGGAAAACTCACCAAAATTGTGGTTTTAAGCCGAATAACTCGTGATAGAGATCTGGTAGAAATTGTTCGACAAAGCTTAGGTTTGTCACCAATGCCGGATTTTTTAACAGTCGAGTCTTCTGCAAAGAAAGTTAAGAAACAGGCAGTGACTTTGAGGTCAGTAGAGATCTGCAATTGGTTTCCTTACCAGTTCTTTGGCACCAACTATTCCATTCAGTTTATCAATGAAGCTGACCTTCCAATGAAGATTGTTTCGGGTGAAGTCGGCTGGAGTCAAGGGAACCAACTTAAGTTTGAGAAAATCCTTCCACCTCTCTCATCGTATAGTCAGGAGACTAATTTCGGCTTCTCCACCGGTGGGTACATAATTCTGTATTTAAAAGGCGATATGTTGAGCTCCGATTTCAAGAATACCAGAGTTATCGAATTTGCCGTGTCAAAGCCTTTTTACGAAGCTAAAATAGGCATGCAAGACAAAACTGACGCGGAGTTTTTGCACGGTCTGAATGCCTACAACGAGAGGTCTGAAGACCCTGTACTTTTGTACTTTTCTGAAAATGGAAAATATTACATTGCCAAAGCTGAGATTTTTGTTTGTTGGCCCAATCGCATTTTTCGATTCATCATTCAAGACTTTGACCCAGAAGCTGTTGGAGTTGGAGAACATTAGGATAGACACTCTCGTCCATTGACTTAGTTCCCAGGGTGGGAGGGTTGGAAATAAGAGACCCTGTCAAGGGAGGGAGGGAGGGAGGGGGAAGAAATTCAGAAAATTTAGAAAATAATATACCAAACTTAAACAATACTTTTAGTCTATTTGTAGATTGAGTTTACTGTTAGACACAGGCTGAAATTCCATATTTTCTTTATTACTCATAAAACTATATGAGAAAATACTTCATTTGAAAATTGCTCAGTTGAATTTTAAAATTCTAACTATTTTCACAAAACCATGTTTAAGTGTTTGATATCTTTCCTGAGCTACTCTGCATGTTGAGCTTTGAACACCAGAATTTCATATTACAATTTTGACTCTTAAATGCTTTGAAACACTTGACAAAAATTCTTTAAACCAATTTTCACCTCACTAACGTGCAAAAAATATATCAAAAAACAAACAAAGAGGAAAAAGAAAAAGGAAAAAAAGCCACAGTAGAAGTTGTCAGTATGTAAATATTTGTGGGCAATAAGCACAAAAAAGGGGAGATATTAATATGATATACTGAATGGGAAATGAGGATGGGCAGCATCTCTTGGAACTTTCTTGCCATCAACCTGCAAATCCAAATTATCACAGAAAAACTGTAAGTCCTCTTCATTACCACCAAGTATATTAATTTTATTATTTTAATTAACTCAAATGACTCAAATCACAAAAGCCTTACATCATCAGATGTACAGTGTAACACCATTGTCTAGCTTACTTAGACTAATTTTCCTTTCCTTATTAATATAGTTAGCTCTTAGAATTTATTATTGAATCAAGTAGTAATTTCCTTGGTAATGATTTTTGTCATTCTCATCACTGCTCTCCTTGAGATCGTATTGACACTGTGATAAGAAATCAATTTTTTTTCGGGCCTTATTTCAACCACTAGTTAAGTAGTGTTCATAACTGCTAGGATCACTTATATTTGTTTCTTCAACCACAGTGCACATATATGATTTTCATATACCAGTATTTACAGTCATGTAGAAACCAATTATTGGTCACTCCCAGGAGTGAAAGAGCTAAACAGATCATTCATTTTCATGCATACTGTTCCTGAACTTTTTCCAACATCTCTACTATGAAAGTTACAGGCTTAAATCCTGGACCCCTGAGAGTTAAAAACATCTAATTTCTTCCAACAATACCACAGCTGAACCAAACATCGTAGTGTGATGAGAAAAAAGAAAAATCAACTTCAGATTTCATCACATATTATACCTGACTGTGTATTTAACCTGGATGAGTTTTGTAAATTTACTTGATGAGTAACATATATTAAATTTGAAATCATTATTTACATGTGTGTCATGGCCCCATTTACAGTCAGAAAAGAGGACAATATAATGTTCACATGTATGTTGATTTAGAATTGTTATTGCTGAGTGTAGGAAGATGGATTGGTTGGCTTTGCAGCAAATCGCTCATTAACCTTTTTACCTCTATGAGTGACTAGAATCTAATTTCTCCTTACAATATCACCCCTGATCACAAAATAAGGTCATGAGAATAAAGGAAATGATCACCAACTACAGAGGCTCTTGATTGTTAAACAGATTCTCCTTGTCAGCACCCTAAGAAATGTATAGAGAACAGTATCGGGAAAATGCAAACTGATGTTTGCTTGTAAAGATTACCTTTGAACCATAAAAACTAAATAATGAACATCTTACCACATGACTGCCAAACACAAGTTGCCAAATTGACAACATCCCTAACAATTATACTTACTGTCATAACACTGCATAGTTTGGAATAACTGTCAAAAACTATTAAAATGCCATATGACTTTGTAAAACTTACCACAAAGTTTTTCTTAATGTGAGCAGGTGTAATGCTCTTAGGTATAACAGAAAAACCACACTGTATCTGAAAGCGGATGCAGACCTGCGCAGGAGACTTGCCATATTTATTGGCAATGGCCACCATCTTGGGATCATCCAGAAGGTAGGGATCTCCAGGTTTTGCCCACGGATGATCAGGTGATCCCAGAGGGTTGTATGCCATTACTGAGGTAAAGGAATAAAATGTGTGCAGATTATTTCACATTGTGTGGGAGATGCTGTGGACATCAGGTAAAGAGGTACAGATTTAGGACCTGAACTATATATAGCTGTGCATTTGTTAACCCTTAAACTACAAAAGTGATTAACATGTAACTTCTCCCAATAATATCATATTATCCAGCAAACAGGTAATAAGAAAACTCAAAATTATCAAGTGGAAGTTATCTTGATCTAACACCAAAATGCAGTTAAATGCAATTTAAAGGAGTTAAAAACAAAGAGCACTTGCGTTTTCTATTAGTCAGAGGTTCTTACATATGCGTGTGCGCCGGAATTCCATGTGTTCATCGTTGGAGGCGTTCTTGCGCACACTTTGAGCATGTACTTGTAGCCTTGTGAGGAGTGGCAGCTCTTCATCCAAGCAGTTTTTCCCCACTCATTCCCTCCTTGTTTCCACTGTTTATTCAGTGTGAGGGGTGCCTGTTCCCCTTTCCTGTTTGGGGGCTCACGGCTGGGTTGCCAGGATTTGCCAACCATGGGAGAAGTCTTCATCTAGCAGGGTCGGCCAGGGGGGGTAGTGGAATACCAATATACCCGAAAAAAAATCGACAAAATACCCCAAAATACCCCAAATTCCTCCAAATATACCCAAAAATAATCGAAGCTTTGAATACTTTATACCTGAAATTCAAAGAAAGTGATATACTGATTACCCATATTTAAGCTGCAATATACCGTATACCCGATTTAAAACGCCCCTGAATACCGAATACCCAAAAACCCTGGCCGACCCTGATCTAGGAGCTGGCTGTCAATAGTGAAAGCTCCTGGATGTTTCAGGCACCCAACCTCCAATCAGCGATGCAGTTGTTAATTCCTGCAACTAGTTTACGAGGGAAAATTGACAGAAGTAATTCACTTAAATTCTACACGTAAACACGTAAGGAAAACATTATAAAGCGACTCAAGAGAACTCTTGTCTGAGGTAAGCACATTGTCTGGATAATTGAAATGTTCAGGGAAGCTATCAATAATTTACAAGCGACCTGGGTGAGTAGAATATTAAGTTTAACTAAATCAGTTAAAGCTCTAACCACGAAAATATCATTCCTTTTCGTGGAGCTTAGGACTACACGAAAGGCGAAGAATTTTGCAACGTTATTTCTAAGGAAAACAAGTAACGTGCAGCAAGTCGCTTTGCAAAAATTATTGCGTTCGACGTTAGAAGGCAGCCCATAGTCTTGAGATTCCTATAGTACTCAAGGGTGACCATTTGTGGTACCCATTTCCGTCTAGCCTACAGAGCAGGCGTAAATTTGGCGAGCTATTGCTCAGTAATTTCTTAACGAAAATTATGGCCGCCATCTTTGATTTTGTTGGCAGAGGAATGCTGGGGAGAGAAAGAAATTTGTATCAATGGGGCGGTCGACGAACGAGGAGAGGGGGGGAGAAGTGAAGAGTCTATCCTTCCCCGCCCCCCACCGTCCACTCTAACGGTCAAACAGTAACTCAGACATGGCCAGTCGGATAAAGGATCGCGAGCATATAACGTGAGCTCGCACATATAAGACGCAGTCCTCTGGTTTAAACTTGTTTACCTGACAGCGTAAAGGGTACCCATCCATTCGTTCCCTGTTTGGTATAAAGCCTGCGTTAGTACGAAAACCAAACAAAACCTTAAATCTACACCACGAACGCACTTCATAATCAATGATTACTACTAGTTTATTAAAGCTGCATCAGCGGGTCGTTAAGATCAAATTCTAATAGACCACAGCCGGCCCAAGCTCCAGTTGTGAGATGATTATCTTGCGCAATAACAGTCATGGCGGAATTATAGACTTTGCAATGTTATGGTCACCACAAACTTCAATTATCAATGTACAAACTGAAAATCCAGAAGTCTTAAAATTCTTACATTTTCGCGGTTGAAAAATGGATGAAAAAAATAGTAAGGTTATGGAAATCGTTTCAGCCTTTGTAGACAACTTTCGGTTTTTCCTGGAACTTCGCGTGACCTTAGTTAGACTAGCGTGACATACATCGAGTACTTCCGGTTGCATCAAGAATGCACCTTGAACTCTCAAATGAAAACTTAAATTGAGTTCATTTCGTTAAATTAAACCCAATTCTATATATTGCAGAAGTTCAAGCAATGGTCAAAATAATTTTTGTACGAATTGTGCTGTATGTGGTTGCCTGCAATGTCCTTTGCCTCCATGTCAGCAGCCATTTCAGTGAAAAATACTCATGGAAGAATAATGAGTTTGAAGAAAAGGGATCTATAAGGGTAAGAAGTGAATTATTAGTCATTGCTATTTAATTGAGACTCTATTTTTTTTTCAATATTAGGTTTCTAGCTGTTATGATTTTAAGTCAGTCTGTGAAGGTCTCAATGAAATGACAACTTTTTCAGTGAACGGTTAAAATTTTGGCGAATTAACGGCTAACGATAAACCGGTAAACCAGTGAACGGTAAACCGTTTTCTCATGGTTAACTTTTTCTATGACTAATGGTTAAAATTTGTCGATTGTTACGCCTAACAGTTAAATATTTTGACCGGTTTACGGCTAAAGGTTAATCCATTAAGACTTTGCAGAATATGTCCTCTGTTCCCATTCGACGAAGTTTCCACAAATAATTAAATAATTTCAAGCGTGTAAATAAGTGTAGTGTATACATGTATAGTGAGCATACAGCAGAACAAATGTTGTGATAACAACGATATAAAAGAACTTTTTTTGAGACGTTTAAAAGAATTGATTGAAACTATTAAAAACAGTAATAAAGTAAACTGTGTGAATGCAAATAAGTCAGGCCTTCGAAATCGATACATATGTGAGCTGATGACCAAAATAAATGCACCAATGAGAAGTCTAAAAAATCAATATCTGAATTCCACGTCAAGGGGGTGGGGGGGGTGCAGGGGTGACTTTCTTCTTTCGAAACTTTTACTGATAAATAAGTAAGTGAGGTAAATATTTGATTTTTTTGTCTTTTGTTTGTTGTAGAAACAAGTGTCAGAATCTAGCTGCAACAATAGTCAAAGCATTTCTGAACTCAGGGATGCGATAGACAAGTTGCGCTCAAAGTCAGCTGATTTTCCTGGATTCCAAAAAGAACTTGATGAGGTGAATACCTTGATGGGAAAACTGGAAGACAAAAAATTCAGTTCCAAAGACAAATCGAATGAAGAATTCTATAAAAAAATGAAAACACTTATTACAACCACTACAGATAACATTGAAAATTTTAAAAGTAACGAGTATCTCAAAATTTTAAAGGGTTTTCTTGAAATTGCCTCAAGCCTGGCAGACCTGGTTTACCCTGGTCAACCTTTCAGCTTAATTTTTTGGTCACTTTCGAAAGCTGTTGGCGTGTTGATAACCGAAAGCAAACCAAATCAGCCAAGTTTGCTACACCAACTAACAAATGTTGTTCGCAGTGAGATGATTCACTTTAACAATAGGTTACAGGATCAGAAATATAATGGGCTTCAACATCGCTCGTCAGAACAAATTTTTCAGTTGCAGCAAATGAAAAAGGGAGAGAAATTAGATGATCCTACTCTGTGGAATGATTACGTGCAATTTTTGGGTGAGCTTGCAAACAGGTTTGAGTCACCGCTTCCTTTCAAGTATGAAAATAAGCCGACAGAGGATCCCAATGTGAAAGATTTCGTAACAGCCATAGTTAAGTACTCTGAAGCTCACTCCTGCTTCATAACTCTTCTGTTCATTGCCAAAGCAAAATTTGCAGAATTAGGAAATGCGCACAAAGTTGACATAGCCACTGTGGACCGTAAAATGATTTTCCAAATTAAAGAAGCTAGAGAGAAACTCTCTTTTCTGTCAGAAAAGAGATTTTTGACATTTTTTGGAAGAATCAAAGGCGGAAAACTCACCAAAATTGTGGCTTTAAGCCGAAGAATTCGTGGTAAAAGCCTGGTAGAAACCGTTCGACACAGCTTGGGTTTGTCACCAATGCCAGATTTATCGACAGTCGAGTCTTCTGCGAAGAAAGTGAGTCAACAGGCAGTGACTTTGAGATCAGCAAAGAAATGCATTTGTTCTCCTTTAACGTACTTTGCCATCCAGTATTCCACTCAGTTTATCAATGATGCTGACATTCCGATAAAGATTGTTTCAGGTGAAGTCGGCCAGAGTCGGGGGAACCAATTTCAATTTGAGCGAAACCTTCCACCTCGCTCATCGCATCACCAGACGACTTATTCCGGCTTTTCTACTGGTGGGTACATAGTTCTGTACTTAAACGGCAATATGTTGGGCTCTGATTCAGAGAATACCAGAGTTATCAATTTGCAGTGTCAACCATATTTGATGGAAAAAGTATACTAAATAAAATTGGCATGACAGACGAAACTGATGCAGAGTTTTTGCGAGGTCAGAATGCTTACGACAAGAGGTCTGCAGACAATGTAACTCTGTACTTTTCTGAAAATGAAAGATATTTCATTGCCAAAGCTGAGACTTTTGTATGTTGGCCCAATCGCACTTTTCGATTCATCATTCAAGACTTTGACCCAGAAGCTGTTGGAGATGGAAAACATTAGGAAAGACTCTCTCGTCCATTGACTTCGTTCCCAGGGTCTCTCTTCCACAAACCTATATTAGATAGAGAGGGGAGGGTGGGAAAACGAGACACCCTGAGGGGAATGAATGTCAGAAAACTTAGAAAATAGAGCCAGACAAGTTGTTGCAAGAGTGCAATACATCTCCTCCTTTCCCCACCAAACTCTAATCCATACTTTAAGTTTATTGGTAGACTGAGCTTATTGCCAAGACACAGGCTGAAATTCTGTCTTTTAATTTTTTTATTACTAATAAAACTACAGGAGAAAATATTTCATTTGAAAATTGTTCAGTTGAATTTTAAAATTCTATTTGTTTTCACTAAACCATGTTTAAGTGTTTATATTGTTACTGAGCTACCCTGCATGTTGGGCTTTGAACACCAGCATTTAATATCACAATTTTGACTCCTAAATGCTTTTGAAACAACTAACAAAAATTCTGAAGACCAATTTTCACCACAATAATGAGCAAAAATATAAATTAAAACACAAATAACAAAGAGAAAAAAGACCCTCATTAGAACCCATCTGCATGTAAATATTTGTGGCCGATTAATATGGTATATTGAATGGGAAATGAGGATGGACAGCATCTCTAGGAACTTTCTCACCATCCACCTGCAAATCCAAATTATCACAGAAAAGATTTAAGTCCTTTTCATCATCACTAAGTATATTTATTTGTTTCTCAACTCCAATAACTTCAATTACAAAAGCCTTACACCATGATATGTACAATGTAACACCTTTGTCTGGCTCACTTAGACTAATTTTCCTTTTCTGTATCTACATATTTACATAGTTAGCTCTTAGAATTTAGAATTGAATCAAGTAGTAACTCCCTCGTTAATGATTTTCATTATTCTCATCAATTCTATGCTTGATATCATTTTGACATTGTGAGAAGAAATCACTTACTGGTCACTCCCAGGAGTGAAAGAGCTAAACAGATCATTCATTTTCATGCATGCTGTTCCTGAAAATTTCCCAACACCTTTACTATGAAAGTTACAGCTTTAAAAACATCCAAATTCTCCCTACAATATCACAGCTGAACCAAACATGTGGTGTGATGAGAATAAAGAAAAATTAACTTCAGATCACAACACATATTATACCTGACTGTGTATTTATCCTTGATGAGTTTAGTAATATTACTTGATGAGATATTATTAGCATGTATGTCATGGCTCCTGTTACTTTCCTATTCTGAGGCCATTTTGCAGTTATAGATCTTAAGGCCTGAGAGACAGTGAGAAAAGAGGACAGTATAATGTTTGCGTGCATGTTGACTTGGAGCTGTTATTGCTGAATGTAGGAAGATGGATGGGTTAGCCTTCCAGAAAATCATTCATTAACTTCTTGACCTCTATGAGTGACTAGCATCTAAGTTCTCCTTACAATATCACCCCTAAATTGCACATTAAGGTCATGAGAATAAAGGAAATGATCAGCAACTAAAGAAGCTCTTGATTGTTAAACAGATTCTCCTTGTCTGCACCTTAAGAAATGTAATGGTTGTAAAGGTTAACTTTAGACCATAAAAACTAATAAACATGTTACGTGTACATCTTGCCACATGACTGCCAAATGTAACAGGCATAAGGTAAAATGTGGACTAGACTATTTTTTTTTACCATTTTTTGGATCATTTTATAAGGGGGGGGTGGGGGGAAAGCACACCATTAGTACTCAGGGAGGGGGGGAAGCAGTCTCTCAGTACTGAGGGAGGGGTGGGAGGCTGAGAGTGTTATCACTCAGGGAGGGGTGAGAGACGGACTATTACTACGCAGGGAGGGTGGGAGGTTGTTGTAATAGCAAACGCTTCTGGTTAATAGAGCTTTTACTCGATCATACAAATTATTTTGATCGGTTTTTCGACTGACTTTTATTGAAAATAGCGCGTTTACGATCCCTCACTGTTGCGTTTCGCGTGTGGCTTTTGAGTCGACCTGTGCACCATCAGTTGCTTTACGTTTCCCTTTGTTTATTTAGTATATCATGACTAAACTTATCTATCTTCCTTTTGCAATTGACCTTATTAGACAAGATCAAGGAATTCTTTAGTCCTTAATCCTTAACTTAGCAGCATAGAATTCACAACCGCTATCGCAATTTTAACGTTTACACCTTACTATATAAAATCATTGTTGGTACAATCGCACAAAGAAATCTTCTCACTTTTCAGATACACAATTTTCCCCTTTTTGATACAATAAACACATGCTTGAGTGTCATGTCACACGTTCCACTCCTTACATCGATGATTAAAACAGCGCAGCGTCAGCTCTGGATAATTTACAATGGTAATTGAATTGAGTAGATTGCAATTTGGGCTGAAGCCATACGCGTGATTTGAAATCACAAGTATGATTTCAGACCAAAATTGTACGACACGAGGTTCAATAGCCACTTTAGCTTTATTACATCCATTTTGAAATAGCTTAAATACAGGACTTGGTCAGTTCAAATATTTTATTGATGCAGTGCTGAGCCGGTTTGAAATTAAATTCATCAATTTTTGGGGGAAAAAATAAGAGTTTTGGAAACAAAAGTTGCAAAATTTGCCACATGATACTCTTTGTCTTTCATTTTTCCTGCAATTTGATTGGTTTCTTTAAACAGGCCTTGAAATCGGATTGGTTGTTTTGTTTTTAGTGTGGCCTCCTCATTGGCTGGGGAAAAGATCCGATTTAAAGCAAAAATGGTGCGATTCGTGAATAAATCGCACCAATTAGAGCTAGTCAGATTACAGGGACCACCAGTGATTTCAAAATGGGTGTAATAAATCAAATAACTTGTTTGACTTTTTTGGGTTAGGGGCGCAATTTTTCTTTCACATAGCCACTGCACTGATTCATTAAATCCACACAAGTGCAAATTACAGAATTACCTTTTCGCAAATTACAGATTTCTTATTCACAAATGAGGGAATTCCCTTTCGCAAATTACCAATTTGAGTTAATCTCACAAAAAAATTTTTTTCTTCATTTTGTATCGTTTCGCAAATCAGGGTTACCTCATCACGGTTAACAGGTCTAGCCTTTTTGTTAAAGAGGCGAAAGCGGCTTTTCCAATGATTGGTGAGAAAGCTTGCATTCATCGGAGAAATTAGCCTGACAGAAAATTCGATATCTTGGAGGAGTGACTTTGCTATCACAAAATCAATGTTCACTGGAAAGCCCAATGATACAATTGACCGGTTGTATGAGTACTGACTTTACGTTCGATGATTATCGATCACTGCTCGTTCCATGAAGATAACTCATTTTGCATTTATTGTTTAACCAAAATGACTGTTCCCAAAGTTACAAACAGAGCGCATGAATTAAGAGTTTTGTTATCGCGCGGGAGTATTCGTGGAGCACGCCCACCTGTTTTTTATCTTTTTTTTCTTAAACGAGCGAGTACGCATAATTAGCGGCTAAAGTAACACAAATTGTAGGAAGAGATTATTTATCACGTTTTGCTATTATAGGGTCAATTTCTACCGACTCTAATACTTGTAGCGCTACTTTTAAATAGTAGCTTCTTACGAAACTGTCGGCTTGTCGAACAATGTGAGGAAATTTCTTCCTCCATTTGTGGATACAGCATGGAAGAAGAACTTAAATATATAAAAGTATGGCAGCTCCGCCCTCTTGCAAGGCGCAACTTTCAAGAAACAAAGACTCCCTCTATGTAGCCTATCGAAATCAATTAAATAAAGAGCTGGGTCTCTAAAGTACATAGGGAAATGACAATTCTTACAGATTATTAATAATGCGTCAATTATTGTTTATCGATAACAGCAAATGCAACAAAAAAGGTGGTATAACAGGTATAGACAGAAAATTTATCGTTGCCCATTTCATCACAGCCCACAAACTTTAACTTTATTTGTAAAATTTGATTTTTTCCTCATTTTTGCATAATATTTTGATTTGGCCTGCGGTTAGCACACACTTATCACTCTGACTTTTTCAGAAATTGGAAAGAGATTTTGTGTTCTCTGGAGTCATTGCAAAACATAGGAGTCGTTTTGTCATTGTCTCCAAGAGGGCTTACTGTAATTTACGAAACGAAACAAAATGAAAAAATGTTATTGGTGAGATTAACTCAAATCGTTAATTTGCGAAAGGGAAATACTTCATTTGTGAATTAGAAATCTGTAATTTTCGAAAAGAGGTAATTCTGTAATATGCACTTGCGTGGATTTAAAGAATAGATGCATCGGCTATGTGAAAGAAAAATTGCGCAATTAAGCCATAAAAGGTAAACCTGTTATTTAACTCCCAAAATCAAAGTTTTATTTTTGCAATGTTAGCTCGTTGCTAGCTACAACAAGAACAACGATATGCAGCGTATAGTGTTATTACTTTTCGAAAACGAAGACATAAATTCGCGCTTTATCAGTCATATGTCAGCTAAAAAACCGAAGTTATATTTATGGGGGACTGGTGTTAGGCCTGAAGAATTTCGTAACCAGGACTACTCGATTTTTTTTGAAACCGAAAGCTCTAGGGATGAGGAAATAGTCATTTTGTCTGCGCATGCGCCATAATACTTAAAGTTTTACCCGTTCCGCATCAGAAAGCACGTTCACTGAGGCAATTCAGTTAAATTCTACTAACACGTAAGGAAAATATCATAAAGCGACTCAAGACTAACAAAGATAAGAAAAAAAAGCATGTTTTGATCTGAGACAAGAGAACTCTTGTCTAAGGTGAGTACGTTGTCTGGAGAATTGAAATGTTCAGGGAAGCTATTAGTAATACTCGAGCGACCTCGGAAAGCAAGAATAAAATGTTTAATTAAGCTCTAACCACGCCGGAAAATAACGCTCCTTTTCGTGGAACTTAGAACTATACGAAAGGCGAACAAGTTTGCATCGTTACTGAGGAGAAACGTGTGGCAACTCGCTTCGCAAAAATTATTTATAAACCCGCAGTAGCGTGTTGTTTAGATCAAATACTAATATACTGGTTCATAAAAATGTTTGTTTCGCAGTGAAATTTATTTGCAATATTATGGTCACCACAAACTCCAATTATCAATGTACAAACTGAAAATCCAGTAGTCTTAAAATTGTTACATTTTCGCGGTTGAAAAATTGAAGAAAAACGTAACAAGGTTATGGAAATTGATGGCCCTTGCAGACAACCTTTCGGTTTTTCCCGGAAATTCGCGTGACCTCGGTTAGGCTAACGTGACATACATTCAGTACTTCCGGTTGCTTCAATAATACACCCTGAACTCTAAATGAAAAATTAAATTGAGTTCATTTCGTTAAATTCGCCCAATCCTATATATTTCAGAAGTTCAAGCAATGATCAAAATCATTTTCCTGCAAATTGTACTGTATGTGGTCGCCTGCAATGTCCTTTGCCTCCACGCCAGCGGCCATTCCAGCGAAACATGCCCACAGAAGAATAGTGAGTCTGGAGAAATGGGATCCAAATGGGTAAGACACGAATTATTAGTCACTACTATTTAATTGAGACTTTTTTTCTAGGTTTTTTTTTTGGGACTTTTTTTTTTTGGGACTTTTTTTTTAGGTTTTCTGATTTTAAGTCAGTCTATGAAGGTCTCAATAGAGTCACGACTTTTTCGGCGATCGGTTAAAATTTTGGCCATTAGGCGGCTAACGGTAAACGCCAGAATTGTTTTTTCGGTTAACTTTCTTTATGACTAACAGTCAAAATTTGTCATTTGTTACGCCTAACGGTTAAATATTTTGGCCGGTTTACGGCTAACGGTTAACCCATTGAGAGCCTCTAGAATATGTTCTCTGTTTCCGTTCAATCGAGTTCCTCTTGCCTTCAAGTTTCCAAAAATAATTAAATCATTTCCAGCATGTAAATAAGTGTAGTGTAAACATGCATAGTGAGTATACAGCAGAGCGAATGTTGTAATAAAACGACATTGAAAAAGACTTTTTCGAGGCGTTTAAAAGAATTGATTGAAACTAGTAAAACATTAATATAGTAAATAGAACACTGATAACTGTGAGTGCAAATAAGTGAGGCCTCGGAAACTGATATGTATATGAGCTGATAACCGAGATAAACGGACCAATCGCAAGTCCAAAACTTCAATATCTAAATTCCGCGTCTAGCGGAAGCGAAAGGGAAGGGGTGATTTTCTTATTTCGAAACTTTTACTGATAAATAAGTCAGCAGGGTAAATATTTGATTTTTTGGTCTTTTGTCTGTTTTAGAAACAAGCGACGCAATCTAACAGCAAAGATTTTCAAAGCATTTCTGAAATAGAGCATGCGCTAAACGATCTGCACTCAAAGTCAGCTGGTTTTCCCGAGTTCCAAAAAAAACTTGATGAGGTAAAGGCCTCGGTGGAAGAACAGAAAGACAAGAACAAAGATAGTTGCAAAGGCAAATCGAATAAAATATCCTATGAAGAAATGAAAAAAGTTATTACAACCACTACAAATAGCGTTGAAAAATTTAAAAGTAAAGATCCTCTGAACATTTTAAAGGGTGTTCTTGACATTGTCTCAAGCCTTTTAAACCTGGTTGAACCTGGTAAACCTTACAGCTTTATTTTACGGAGACTTTCAGAAGCCGTTGGCGTGTTGATAATGGAAAGCAAACCAAATCAGCCAAGTGTGGTACACCAACTAACAAATGTTGTTCACCATGAGATGATTCAATTTAACAAAAGGTTACATGATCAGAAATATAACGGGCTCAAACGTCGCGTGTCAGAACAAATTTTTCAGTTTCAGGGAATAAAAGAAGAGGAGAAATTAGATGATCCTACTCTGTGGAATGATTACGCGCAATTTTTGGGTGAGCTTTCGATCAGGTTTGAGTCACCGCTTCCTTTCAAGTATGAAGGCAACCTGACAGAGGATCCCGATGTGAAAGATTTCGTAACAGCCGTAGTTAAGTACTCTGAAGCTCACTCTTGCTTCATGGCTCTTCTGTTCGTTGCCAAAGCAAAATATTTAGAATTAGGATCCACGCACGAAGACGACGTAGCCACTTTGGACCGTAAAATGACTTTCCAAATTAAAGAAGCTAAAGAGAAACTCTCTTTTCTGTCTGATAAAAGATTTTTGAAATTTCGTGGAAGAATTGAGGGCGGAAAACTCACCAAAATTCTGGCTTTAAGCCGAATAAATCGTAATAGAGACCTGGTAGAAATCGTTCGTCAAAGCTTAGGTTTGTCGCCAATGCCGAATTCAACAACAGTCGGGTCTTCTGCAAAGAAAGTGAGTCAACAGGAAGTGACTTTGAGGTCAGTAGAGAACTGCAATTGCTTTCTTTGCCAGTTCTTTGGCTATAATTATTCCATTCAGTTTATCAATGAAGCTGACCTTCCAATAAAGATTGTTTTGGGTGAAGTCGGCTGGAGTCATGGAAACCAACTTCAGTTTGAGCAAAACCTTTCACCTCGCTCATCGCATAGCCAGAAGACTAATTTCAGCTTCTCTACCGGTGGGTACATTATTCTGTATTTAGAAGGCAATATGTTGAGCTCTGATTTCCATACCAGAATTATCGAGTTTGCAGTGTCGAATCTTTTTTACGAAACTAAAATTAGCATGCAAGACAAAACTGACGCAGAGTTTTTGCGCGGTCTGAACGCCTACAACGAGAGGTCTGAGGAGACTGTAACTCTGTACTTTTCTGAAAATGGAAAACATTACATTGCCAAAGCTGAGATTTTTGTTTGTTGGCCCGATCACATTTTTCGATTCACCATTCAAGACTTTGACCCAGAAGCCGTTGGAGATGGAGAACATTAGGATAGACTCTCTCGTCCATTGACTTTGTTCCCAGGGTCTCTCTTCTACAAACCTCCATAAGGTGGAGTGGGGAGGGTTGGAAATGAGAGACCCTGTCAAGGGAGGGAGGGAGGGAGGGGGACGGAATTAAAAAAATTTAGAAAATAGAGCCAAAACAGTTGTTGCAAGAGTGCAATACATCTCCTACCTTTCCCCACCAAACTTTAGTCAATCCTTTAGTTTATTTGTAGACTGAGTTTACTGTGAAGACACAAGTTGAAATTCCATATTTTATTTATTACTCATAAAACTATATGAGAAAATACTTCATTTGAAAATTGCTCAGTTGAATTTTAAAATTCTAACTATTTTCACAAAACCATGTTTAAGTATTTAGTATCTTTCCTGAGCTACTCTGCATGTTGAGCTTTGAACATCAGAATTTCATATCACAATTTTGACTCTTAAATGCTTTTGAAACACCTGACAAAAATTCTTTAAACCAATTTTCACCTCACTAACATGCAGAAAGATATATCAAAACACAAACAAGGAGGAAAAAAAAAGGGAAAAAAAGCCACAGTAGAAGTTGTCAGTATGTAAATATTTGTGGGCAATAAGCACAAAAAAGGGAGATATTAATATGGTATATTGAATGGGAAATGAGGATGGGCAGCATCTCTTGGGACTTTCTTGCCATCAACCTGCAAATCCAAATTATCACAGAAAAACTGTAAGTCCTCTTCATTACCACCAAGTTTATTTATTATTTTATTTAACTCAAATGACTTAAATCGCAAAAGCCTTACACCATCAGATGTACAGTGTGCATATTTAATAAATATAATATAATATATAGTTAGCTCTCTGAATTTAGTATTGAATCAGGTAGTAATTTCCTCAGTAATGATTTTTGTTATTCTCATCACTGCTCTCCTTGAGATTGTATTGACACTGTGATAAGAAATCAATTTTTTTTCAGGCCTTATTTCAACTACTAGTTAAGTAGTGTTCATAACTGCAAGGATCACTTATATTTGTTTCTTCAAGTGCAGTGCACATATATGATTTTCATATACCAGTATTTACAGTCATGTGAAAACCAATTATTGGTCACTCCCAGGAGTGAAAGAGCTAAACAGATCATTCGTTTTCATGCATACTGTTCCTGAAAATTTTCCAACATCTTTATCATGAAAGTTACAGGCTTAAATCATAGACTCCTGAGAGTTAAAACATCTAAATTCTCCCAAAAACATCACAGCTGAGCCAAACATCGTAGTGTGATGAGAATAAAGAAAAATCAACTTCAGATTTCAACACATATTATACCTGACTGTGTAATTAACCTGAATGAGTTTTGTAAATTTACTTGATGAGTAACATATGTTAAAATTTTAAATCATTATTTACATGTATGTCATGGCCCCTGTTAATTTCCTATTCTGAGGTCATTTTACAGTTATAGATCTTAAGGCATGAGAGACAGTGAGAAAAGAGGACAATAAAATGTTCACATGTATGTTGATTTAGAGCTGTTATTGCTGAGTGTAGGAAGATGGATGGGTTAACCTTCCAGAAAATCATTCATTAACTTCTTGACCTCTATGAGTGACTAGCATCTAATTTCTCCTTACAATATCACCCCTGAATTGCACATTAAGGTCATGAGAATAAAGGAAATGATCAACAACTAAAAAAACTTGATTGTTTATCTTGTCCTCACATTAGGTAATGTATAGAGAACAGTATGGAGAATATGCATACTGATGTAAGGTTATAAAGGGTTAAGTTCAGCAGATTGTCTGTGAAATGCTGAATACAATGTTACTTACCTCTATCATTGGAATACAAGCTCTCCAAGGTCTGTTAAAGGATTCAATAACCTTCATGTCTTCATCAGACAGTTGAAAATCAGAAACCTGCAGGTTAATTGCAAGATAATTGCAATTTAGTTTTAAAATCAGTGGAAAAAAGTAATCAGAAAAAAAGATTTCTCCCTTGGACAAAATTATTTTGGGCAAAATTAAACAACAATTCCTGCAGTTAAGGTTTATCCCATTATAACCCCCAAGAGTGATAATTATCTAAGTTCTCCTCACAGTATCACCGCTAAATCACACATTAAGGTCATGAGAGTAAAGGAAATGATCACCATCTAAGGAGGCTCTTGATTATTATACAAAATCTCCTTATCAGCACCTTAAGAAATTTGTAGAGAACAGTATGGGGAAAATACAAACTGATATTTGGTTATAAAGGTTAACTTTAGACCGCAAAAACTCAATTATGAACATGTTACAACTTGCCACATGACTGACAAACACAGGTCACCAAATCGACAACGTCCCTAAAATTGATACTTACTGTCATAACACTGCATAGTTTGAAATAACTGTCAGAAACAATTTAAATGCCACATGACTTTGCAAAACTTACCTCAAAGTTGCTCTTAATGCGAGCAGGAGTTACACTCTTGGGTATAACAGACAAACCACGCTGTATCTGAAAGCGGATACAGACCTGTGCAGGAGACTTGCCATATTTACTGGCAATTGCCACCATCTTGGGATCATCCAGAAGGTAGGGATCTCCAGGTTTTGCCCATGGACGATCAGGTGATCCCAGAGGGCTGTATGCTGTTACTGAGGTAAAGGAATAAAATGTAAACAGATTATTTCACATTATGTCTGAGATGCTGTGGACTTCAGGTCAAGAGATAAAAGTTTAAGACTTGAACTATGTATAGCTGTGCATTTGTTAACCCTTAACCTCTAAAAGTGATTAATATGTGACTTCTCCCTACAAACTCAAACTTATCAAGTGAAAGTTGTTATCATGATCTAACACCAAATTCCTTCAACTAGTTTACTAAGAAATGTGTAGCAGCTGAAGGGGAGAATTAACAATCAGATCTTAGGTTAAAGGTTTAAAGGAGAAACTTACCAACCACATCTCTCTTCCTGCAATGAGCTAAAAGATCAGCTTGATTGAGGTAGGGATGACACTCCACCTGTAGTACGGCAGGCTTTACACGGCTCTTCTCTATAATGTCATCAACTTGTTTACTGTTAAAATTTGACAATCCTATAAAACAGAAAAATTCAAAAATCACCTGAAGGCCAGTTATACTATTGACCATTAGAATATGTGTCATAGAATTAAGAAGACCTCCTAGATGCAAAATAATAATGATATGAAAAACTAATCTTTTTGGAACTGCTAGTCTTAAGAAAGATGTTCGAGCAGTGACAGATGGAAAGAGAATTTACACTGTGGGTTGCCTGGTGCCTAAAGATAGCACATGGGTCCGAAGATCCAACATTAATACTAAATGAATATAATAATAAGCATCTCATGCTTGTATTTCCTTTCTTTTTTTTGTTAATTGCTGATGACCTAAGCTTTTTTCTCCTCCTCACTCTCTCTCAGGCAAGTAAAGGGTTACAAAAGCTTTCCCCTAATTGCTCCATTGATCTAGACAGTTCCTGAGATGGTTACTAGCACAGATGGCAAAAAAAGCATTTTTGGTCACTCCTAGAAGTGAAAGAGTAGACTCGGAATCCAACAAATGAATTATTGGCCAGTGAAAACCACTGTACTCAGATTTTTGACCAATGTATAGTCTTTTGGTCAAAATTTCCTCTAAAACTGTAAATGCTGAATGCAGTCTGGCAAAAGTTCCCTGCAAACTGTTGTAGAGCACATCAATGCAAATAAGTATTACTAATGCCTCAGCATCACTGTCAGTTAAGAAAATAATTATTACCAATGGCTTTGACTAAGCCTTCATCCACTAAGGGCTCCATAGCTTTCCAGGTATCACATGGATCATGATATGCATAGATTACACTTCCATCAGCTTCCTTAGGGAAAGGGTTATCACCATCTTGAAAAGATAATGGCCAGTGTATAAGGTAAAGGTCAAGGTAGTCTAGTTGTAGGTCACTCAGTGTGCGCTTCAGAGCAGGTAGCACATCAGCAGGGTTATGCTTTGTGTTCCATAGTTTAGAGGTGATAAACAGATCCTCTCTTTTCACCTGCCAATAAGAAATAGCATATAACTCTGAGATAAAATTTTTTTCATTAGAATTTGTTCGTGCCATTCTCTCAAATCCTGAGGTGTACAGGAACATGGGTAAGGAAAATCTAAAATGCTGCACCAAAAGAATTTTAAAAAAGGACAGAGGTCACAATCTAGCTAAGTAGCCCATTCTGCCTGAGTGTATCCCAGTTTCTGTGGTATGAATTGACTAGGAGTATTACTACTCCTCCCTGGATAGGATGCTCATTCATCATAGCCCACCCCCTTCCGTAGCATTTAATCAGGTTTCTCTAAAAGTTTTCCAGTAACTATTTCTACTCCTATCGATACTCCTGGGTGGGGAAGGGCACTTTGAATGTTTAGTGTCTTGCCTGATGCAAGGACACAACTCATCAACCCAGCCTGGGCCAGGTTGTTCAAAGCTGGGTTAAGGTAACTTAGGGTTTGAGGGAAATCTGATTTTAGACCAAAATGCTTTAAAATTAAAATTCAATATAATTATTTTTGCCTATAGTTTCATAACTGGATGCTCTGAAAAGAATTGAAAAAATTATTCAAAAGAGGCTTTTAAACAAAGGAATAAAGGAACTCAGATTAAAATTTAATTCTGTGTTTGCACTAATCAGCCTTCAGACAACCGGGCCCAGGTTTCAAACCCAGACCCCTTGCCCTGCAAGACTGCCAGGTCTCCTATCCCTTGTGTGCAAAAGAAGAGCCTTTTAAACATTCACAAATCCAAAGATATGTGCATATTTTCAGCCAAATCCATCAATCCAGCTTATTTTCATTCTTTCAAATCTGGATCAATGCTATTTAAGAATTTTCTTTGATGTGACTTGGTATCACCATGATTAAGTATGTCTTGCTGTAAGGCAAGGTTTCTGCACATCCTTAAATTTCACTGTGGATGCAGCTCTTAACTTTGCTAAAAGGCAATGATGGTGAGATATTTACTTTAAGATTGGCGCTTTATATTAGAATAGTACAAGGTATACGAAATTCTTTTCAGCCTTTCTTTGGGTGTGAATAAATTTTATGCCCGTATAAACTGGTGCCCGTAAGACTAGCATTACAAATTGTATTGCTTAATCATCAGGGTTAGAAGACCTAGAAAGCTCCTCAAATAATTCGGTTTACGCCCAAAATCTGAATAGCTCAGTCAACGAGGCACCATTGTGCCGACCAAATTTCAAGCGTTTTTAAGGGCCAAACACGCCGACCTGTAATGTTACAGAAGTCCTCGTTACGCGAACCTCACCCATGAATACTTATCATATCCACTTCTCAAATCGCCGGTTCTAAAATGGTCGTTTCGGATAAAATATCCTCACCGTAGTTCCAATGCAAGCTTTTAGAGCCTCTCCTACTTCCTTTTCATTGCCATAAACTGCAGCACAATCTATATGTCTGTAGCCGGCCTCAATGGCTACTTTAACTGCATTGGCGACTTCGCCCGGTTTACTTTTCCAAGTTCCGAGGCCTAGCGACGGAATTGATCTGCCATTGTTTAACTTAATCGACTGCATTGTAATTCAAAGTCGGAAATGGTTCTATTCGTCTTTGCAAATGCCTTAAACAGCGAAAGAACTGTCGATTCAAAAATAATTATAACTAGGCTTTTAAAGTCAAGTGACACAAAGGCGTGGTCGCAAAGCCCCAAAGCTGGAGCGACAGAATGATACCTCGGTTGATCTGGGTCGCGATGGACTGAGTCCTTCAGAGAGGATATGACAGCATACTGAAAGTGTTGGGGGATGTTAAACTCGCTTGTAATAGAGGTTTGCTTTTAAAATGGGGAAGTAGGACTGAGAAATTTTTTGGTAACAAAAAAAAAAAGGGGGAAATAAAGGACGCACGTAATCACCTGTAAGAGCATCAACAAACGAGCAAAAACAAATTCGCCTTCCTCGACACCACAGTTAACAAAAAACTTGATGGATGCCCAACCACCTGCGTATACAGGAGACTGACACATACTGACCAACGCCTAACGTATTGTAAAAGAGGGCGAGGCTAGAGTCTTATCTCCTTAGAAAATATTTATTAAACTTGTTAAATGAACCGCAACAGTTGGCTAAATAAAAACTCCGAAACATCTTAAAATTCCAAACAAATGGATAACAAATTTGCGCGAATAAAAGCTCAAAAACAAATAAAAACAACTCCGTGGAACAAAAAGAGTACGCGAAAAATATCCACGGCAGTGTTCCAATGTCATGGTTAGAGTTCTTTAACGTGATTGGCTTACTTATGAAAATCACGCGCCGCGTGTAAACACAAAAAGAGTGCAAAGGATAGAAAGGAGGATAAATTTGTAGTTGAAATTGAAAAACGAAAGAGATTTTCTGAACGTATAATTCACATCCTCCACAATTAGTAAAGCGCGGTATTGTCAAGTGCTTTTACGAGTCTGCGAAACGTCTCGCAACACAGCCCCCATTACGTTCAAGGAGAAGAAACTTCTGTCATCTATTCTTGTTTCTGATCGTTATCCTTCTTCTTTAGTGAAAGGGTAACAAAAACCAAGACACCGACCACCAGCACTGAATCCCCCACCGAGTTTAGATCCACAGCAATTCTGCCCCATATAAAAGACCTCTCCGAATAACTTCGCCGCCGTCTACAACGACAGGGCATACGCGCCATTTTCAAGTCAGAGACTACGCTGCTATCACACCTTTTACGCCCGAAGAGATGCCGTCGCCCGGCTAAATAGGATGGCGTAGTCTACAAGATTCCTTGTGAGTGCGGGAAGGTCTACATCGGCGAAACTGGCAGACCCTTAAAGGAGAGAATCAAGGAACACGATAGGGATATGCGACTCGCCAAGACGCAGACCTCCGCCGTTTTAGAACGAAGTAAAGGTCTATTGATCTTGACCCCCAGTTCTTCACACGCCGGGTCATAGGGGCAACTCGCATAAGACTTCGCCCTAACAACATCAACAGGGACAGTGGATTTAAATCCCAGAGGCCTGAATGCCAACATCAAAAAACACAACAGCAGGAGAGCTGTGCGGTAACAGACCATAGAGGGACCTGATCCAAATGTGCATCAGTCACGGCTGTGGAATTCGATTCAATCAGAGCTGAGAACTACAGCATGTAGGTGACGCGTACTCAATTCACCTCATCGCCTGAAGAAGACTAACAGAGTGCAGTCCACGATCCACATCCAGAGAGACCACATTGTGAAACAAACGATTATATTTCTCTTTTGAAGGATTTTCCTTTGAATATTTCGTATGAATGAAATAAAATAAATAATCGAAAAGAACCATTTTCAGAGTATGTAATATTCAGATCATTTTATAACCGTAAGCAGGGCCCTGCCCCTTACTATGGCCCAGGATACCATGGCCCATACGGTGGCCCAAGAGGCTCAAAGCTCAGTTTTGTTTTGCTTTTTTTGACTATAAATCCCTTCTTTCTTATCCTTGCCCACATCTTACGATATCCCACAAAACAACCGCTTTTACCGAGTTTTTTCTCAATGGCACTTCTCAGTTCATTATCAGATAATTTTTCTTGATGATCCTAGTTAGTGAGATAAGCCTTCTTTTCAGAGTTGATATGCTCACCCCATGGAGCTTCGGAAATTCAAGTATTTCCAGAATACTGTAGCCTTGTCAGAAATATTGCAATACAAGCTCCAGATAATCTTCAGCAGTTCCGTCATCTACTCTCTTACATGGCGTATATATTGGCAAAGACATCTCTCGACTTCTTAAATCAGTTAGGACAAAATGGTAATGTTAAAATTCCCGCCAAAAGCCAGATTGCATAGCACATGAGCATGCGCATAGCTGTTGCGTCTTAACATAGAGAGCTGGTACCTAAATACTGAAAATTAAACAGGACTGCGAATTGAAACAAAGTTGGACTGTGAAAAAATGAAATTGGACTGTGAAAAAATAAAACTGGACTGTCAAATACAAAACTGGACTGTAAGCCTCCTAGGCCATGGTAGGTTAACATCACTGTGAGTAAATTTTGTTGCTAAGCTCCATTTTAAATAACTGTGTAATAAAATCACTCAAGCTGATTTGCCAACCTCACTAGCGCAGCGACGAGTGCATGAAATTCGCAAGAACAGGCCCACTCGGCGAATGCAAGGAGTATCTGAGTATACTGGCTTATATCTAGCTTACCTGAAAATCATCATGGCCTTACCTGATACACCCATCTCACGCCTTACGTCTCGTGTCCAGTTACATAACAGTTCGTTATATAATGCCCTTTCATGGGACGTTTTATAAGTGAGGTGGAAGTCGCTCATAAAGAAGTCGGGCTCTCCAGGCGAAGGACCCAAATCAGAAAGTTGACATTCTGCACTTTGCATATTTGTGTTCCCATTGGAAAACCAAACTGATGCCAAAATACAAGATTTAGGCACAGCAGGTAAGCAACATTAACTGTAACGAAATATATAGAGATTTAACCCTGAGTTGTTATATAAGAAAGCAGTTTTATAGCTAGATTCAAAAAGTTCAAAGTTAACATATTCATTGGTCAGAACAACTATTTTATATATTATAGACAAAACTTACTTTTGGCCTTCGGCAGTGATTCTAGAACTTTCGATTATCGTTGTAACCATTTACCATTCAAGTAAAATGTTTTTTTCTTTTCATCTCTATCCTTAAAATTTTCAGTTGTTGCCTCTCTCTGAAAAACAATTTTTTCACATTTTTTTCTACCCAACAATCAATATTCAAAATTGAAGTTACTTGGCTTATTGAAAACAAATCAACATGTTTTTGATATTATGAACTAAAATATGTCGGAGAAAATCATCCTTTTAAATCTTCAACTATCAAAACGGGATAAATAAGATCGAAATAAAGCAACCATCGTACTAAAAAAAAAACCAAGCATTTAAATTGACAAATGTTGATCACTCGAAAAGCATCGTTTATCACTTAGAACGGCGGAAACACAGATGATCTCAATGCGGTCGACCGTTGGCCTTAAACGGCTAAAAAAAACTTAACCTTAAGGCGCAAAAACTGACAATTTTAACCGTTAGTCTTAGGAAGGGTTAACCTGGACCATTTTTAATGACAACAGTGGAAAGATGTGAACCGTTAGCCGTAAATTGGCACAAAATGTTAACCGTTAGCCGTAAAAGCTGTCACCACATTAAGACCCCCAAATACAGTAAGGACTTTTTTTATGTTTTTGGGCGTTGCTGCCGTTTTTTTCTTTTTTTTTTTGCAGAAAGAGAACCAACATAAAAATTCCAAATGCAAAAATTACTTTGTGATGGTGAACAAATCAATGATCAAGTCTGTTTGTCAGTCCACTGTGATACACATTGTTCCGACAAGGCGCTAAGGGTCTTCTAAAAGATCATTGCATGCTTTTTGCTCTCAAGTTTGTCGCGGCATTCACTTTGACGGCTATCTGTGATTAGAGATCGAATTTTTTCTCTGCATAAATTGGCGAAAACGACTCATCGTCACAACGGAGGCATGCTGACCAAAATGTTTTATCCTTTCGATTCAGTTTTGGCCAGAACATAATGAGAACAAATTAACTTAAATGATCACAACAGCCAACCAACAAGTTCTCTGATCAATGACGTCTCGAGAAAAGGAACCGATCGGCTCTCCTCACTTCACATATAAACAAAAAAGACACTGTGTTTGAATCATACACGTATGTTCCACAAAGCGGCTTTTATTTCATCAGTAGACTAGGAAAAGAATAGCGAGCAAGGAGAAATAACAATTTGACCAGTTGTTCTGTTTCATTGGATGAATTGGGAGGAAAAAGATCATGTTTAAAAAATTGACCGTTCTCCAGTGTAGTTGTATTTCGTTTAATACAATTGACAGAGCCAGTTATTACATATCGCCTAAGGGGGGAGGGCAGTGAACTTATTTTGTTGTCACGAGAAAATTAACCTGATCCTTCCCTAAGGCTCTGCAATATTCTTTCGACCCTTTCCCCCCCTCCCCTCGTATTCAACACAAGCGAATGCTGCGAATCCTCGAGGGAGGTTCCAGCCATGTTTAGATCCGACGAGTTTGAACTACAAGACGATTTTCAATAAATGTCTACTTGTTAATTTTAATTTCATAAAACACTGGTTTATATGCCTTTAAATTTTGCCTTTTTTCTTTCTTACGAACGAAAATCTAAGCGGTTTTATTGTATTTTCTTCGGATTGACCATTGAGCTTTTTGGTGCCGTTTCTGATTACAGTTAAAAGAGTGAAAACGGCTGAAGTCTTCAAAGGAGGACGAAGAAGACAAATGAGCTAAAAAACATGTTTGCTACAGTATTTTTTGGCTTTCTTGCTGTTCTGGGCTTCACTCTCAATACTGTCACGGTACTGACTTTCACCAAGAATCGTAAGCTTTTGTCCGCGGCAGATATACCAGTCCTTAGCATGGCAGTAGCTGACAACGTTTTGTCCACAATTGCAACGCCATTGGCAGCATTTGCAAGCGCCCACGAGAGGTGGCCGTTTGATTACAGCGGTTGCAGTTGGTACGCATACTTCAATGTTACCGTAGGCCTTGGTTCTATCTTACACCACGTGGCCATTGCAGTTGAAAGGTGCTCGAAGACTCATTTTCCAATGTCAGCAGAGGTCACTCGAAAGAAGATGTCAGCAATCATTATTCTTATTTGGGCATTAGCCTCGATCTGGGGAATCTTCCCATTGATTGGCTGGTCTGCATATGTCCCAGAAGCCAATGGGATATCATGTTCTCTAAGATGGAAGTCAATCAACACCGCTGACACTTCTTTTGTGATTTGCACTTTCACCTTCTTCCTATTACTGCCCTCTTTTGTACTTATAGCATCCTATGCCATCATTTATTACGACCTTCGACAAATGGAAAAAAGATCAAGGCGCAACTGCGGTAAAAAATCCCAGCAAACGCTAGAAACTGTTCTCGCTAAAAAGAGATTAACCTTAACAACATTCATTATGGTTGTGAGTTTTCTAATTGTTTGGTCGCCTTACGCAGCCCTGTCCTTTTATAAAGCATTTTGGAAACCAGTAACTCTGTCCCATTCAGTATCTACGGCCCCTTCCATTTTTGCCAAAACCTCTCTTTTCATTAATCCTGTTACATATTTCATTCGTTACAAAAGATTTAGAAAAAGCGTAAAGAAACTTTTTGGGTAGATGTTTTCTTGTGGAAAAGGCCACTCCACAATGCAGCAAAAGCTGTCAGCGAAATTGTAGATAGATTTAGAAAAGCCATAGACAACAATTTATACATTTGTGGAGTATTCATAGACTTTTCAAAAGCTTTCGACACCGTGAATCACCAAATATTGTTGATAAAACTAGAGAAATATGGAATAAGGGGAGTTCCCTTAGAATAGTTCACGAGCTAGCTTGATAGTAGGCAGCAATGTGTGGCTATAGAATCGCTAAGACGAAAGATGATCTGCAGCACTCCGCAGGGTATTCCATTACGGCGTCTGGTCAAGGCGCCTGACTTCCAAGATTTTTTCTGATGACCTCGTCAGCTCGCGACATGAAAACTTTCGAAGTTTTCATCAATTCTGAATTAAGAGAACTTAAGGAATGGTGTAATATTAAAAATAATTCTACTAGACTTAACCTCGGGCAAAACCAAGCATATGTCAGATCCCCAAAAATGTATTTGAAAGTGTAAATGTAAGGTTGAAAGACATACATGAATTATTCCGTCTTATAGAACAAAATATTTTGGGTGCTATACGATGGTGGATTCATTGTCTCGGAAAGAAAGTCTTAATGGGGTTATCTAAGAGCCAAAAAACGGCCAAATATTTTACCGTCGGGCATAAAAACTGACAGTTTTAACCGTTGGTCGTAAAAAAAGTTAGCCGCAGAAAAATTCCTGATGAGAACAACGGAATGATGTTTACCGTTAGTCGTAAAATTGCCAATATTTTAAACGCTATCCGTAAAAGTCATCACTCCATTGAGACTCTCTGGAAATATCACATCTCTCTCTCCGAATACAGGTAATTTAGTTAATTTAGTTAATTTATTATAATCTTATTTATCGCAATCAATCGGATATTTTCAAATTAAGAATCTTTTTATTCATCAAACGCTTGGCGAAGGAATAGCTTGAAAACCTCACGGTTCTTCTACCTTCTAGGTTTCAGTTGTGATCAAACTACGGTTTTTAAACATTGCCTGTTGATCATAAGTAATTTCATTATCATTTCACAGTAATAGCTCTTACAAGAAATAAAAGATTTGTTGTTTATTATTTGTTGCTTATCATTCCGGTTTCAGTCGATTAAGCTTTTTCGGTTAATTGTGCTAATACTCGTTCAAACTCCCGGGTGAAGTAAAGAACTTCGCAGTAGTGAAAATAAGACCTAAAAAACTCCTGCATGGGATTTGAACCCATGACCTTTACGATACCGATGCAGTGCTCTACCAACTGAGCTAACAAGGCAACTGGGAGCTGGTCATTACGTTGGTTCCAATTAAACCCGTAAAGTGATGAATAAATGACAGTGAATAAATGAAGATCACTTTATTCATTCATTTTTTAAAAAACCGCTGTTCACGTGTGATTTTTACATATTCACTGTCATTCACAGAACTTTGATTGAGAGTTAACGGTCTCCTCCAAAAGCACAAAACGATAACCCAGGTTCAGGCTTGTACCCAGATCTTTGGACGTGTCCACAAGCTTTTCATTACTTCAATTCCGAAAAAAGCAATAATGATAAATAATGGCAACTCTCATAATTACTTTAGAAAACAGGTTTTGAAAATGCGAATAAAATTTTCCTCAAGTTCAAATTCCTCATTTTAAGTACTTGCACAAATAAAGATATTTGTAAATTTAAAGTGCGAATCATTTTCAGATGCTAATTTATAGAGCTTCTTTACTATTCAACCCAGTCCCTAATCTCTCATGTCTCGTTGCTCGCGGAAAGTCTGGAATGAGGCTCTGAATCTTTTTAGTGACGTCACGACGCACAGTATGGTATAAATCAGCAGAAACGAGCTTTGAGAGAAATACCGGGAGCAATAATGACTCGGCACCACTCGGTTTTCCACCAAAATTCTGTCAGGAAATATTTAAACCGCCTTCATTGGATGAGCAGCGTTGTGAATCGCAAATGAATGTAGCTAGGCTTACTCCCCAAGCTTTATCTCTTCCCTTGGTATCCGCCCTGAGTCTGGTAACGGACGTATGAATCTTTACAAGTAACGCTTCCCCACGCACATGAAAAAAAAAAAAAAAAAAAAAAAAGACGGAAAGACAAAAAAAAAAAAAAAGAAAGAGAGAAAAAATAGAAACAAGCGAAAAAAAAAGACAAAGAAAGAAAAAAAAAGAAACGAAGACATCTGCATTTGAATGATTTGCAGTTCTATGTCGCAACCCTCAATTCCCCATAAATATTTAAGAGAACTATTATGCAAAATTGGAAAGTAGACAAAGCGTGTTTTGGGCAATTTGCAAATAGCGAAAGCTTCAAGTTATCACTGTGTATATCGGTCAGACAAAACCAATGCCAAATATTCTGGGCTTCACATTTCCCCCAAAGAGGGAACAAAGGCTCTGAAACTGGTAAGGTGTTATTTTGTTCACATCATGTTTTATTTTTAGGTACTGTTGGGATAATCTGATGGATACAATACAGACACAGCGTTTCATTAAAAATTAGTATATCTCAAACGATTCTATTCCCTGTGACTTGTGAAAATAATTTGAAACATAATCACTTTCCCATAAAAATCAATGAAAATCTCTTTTAATCGAGGATTTCATTTTAAATGTTTTCGCAATACCAAATAAAACCAAAGGGTAGTGATGTTGTTTTTTTTTTTTTTTTTTTTTTTCGATGACAAAATTAAAAAAAAATTATAATAGATGCGGAATATTCCAGCCGCACTGAAAGTATTTTCAGACGACACTTAGCATTTTGTCAAATTTTCAACATGTACAGTCTAGGGTGATATAAATTGCTTGTGTTTGTGTTTCTTTTTTCAAGAATCCTCAAACCTCCTTTGAAAAATTATGTCGACTTCAATCCTTTGGATTGCACCGCGATGGTCTTTAAAAACTGTCATCGTTTTTGAGCCAACCTGAATCTTTCTCACAACCTGTTGGATAAATGTTCCTCAGCCAAAATGTATCTTAATCATTTTAATTTAAGAATGTTTGCTTTGTAATAAGAGCGGAAAAAAAAAATCAACGGTTATTGGCTTGTAGCTATCAATAGCCTTCTCATGATCACCTGTATCATTTCTGTGTCCGAATTCTAATGGATCTGAAAGATAAAGCATCCCAGCTTCTACTTTGTCAAAATTCTCGTGAAAAAAGAAGTTGTAAAAAAAAAATGCTATGTAATTTTTTAGGTTTCGATAATAGCCTTGGAAGTTGAAATTGTTCTCACAGCAACTGCGGTATCGACAAAAATGTGTGTCCTATGTAAACGTAACAAATAACACGAGGAATAAAACAGAATAGATGATCTTCTTTTGATTCAGTGGGATCAAAAGGGAGATCTCACTAGATAATTAGTCATGCTCGTAGCAGCAATTGACACCTTTACGTTTTCTAATGAGTTGGAACCAAAGTCTACTTTGTTTTGAGGTGATTTGGAAGATCTTTAATTCTAACTGGTTATTAATAACTCTTCCTAGAATGAAAAGGGATATAAAATTATATATGGTAATTGTACATGAAAATTCTGTAATTAGTAAGTGATGGACATAAACCTGTAGAAACCACGAAATCACTCTGAGAATTTAACATATCCTTCGTTGTGTCAACTAAATTAAAGCTCAAATGTCGATATGTTCCGCAGGCGTTCAAAAACCTTGATGTTGTTAACATTACAGGCTTCTACAAAATAATGCAAAAAAGGACGGTGCGATAAAACAAATTATGGCAGTCTCTTCAATTTAGTTCATGAGGACCATGGCTGGCGAAATTATCGAAGTCCTCGATAAGAAGATCTACTATACGATCGCTGCTGTCTACATTCTGACTATGCTGACGACAATTATCACCAATAGCATCGTGATCCTAACTTTCTATAAAGTTCGTTGTCTCCTCACCCCTTCAAGCTTACCAATACTTAGCTTGGCCATAGCCGACCTGGTACTAGCCGTAACTGTGATGCCATTTGGAATTGTCGCAAATGCCAACAGGATCTGGTTGGTAAGTGATTTTGGATGTCACTGGTACGCGTACGGTCACACTGTGGTTGGCTTTTCTTCCATTCTGCACCACGGTGTTATTGCTGTAGAAGCCGCCAGAAAAATTGTGAGAGGAATACGAAACGCTGGAGCTCGAAGGCGTGGAATGATCACCACTATTGTGGTTGTCTGGGCTGTTGTGCTTGTTTGGGGAACAATGCCTTTGATTGGTTGGTCATCATATGGACCTGAAGGCAGTGGAGCTGTGTGTTCCATCAACTGGAAATCCACTGATCCAACTGACGTCTCTTTCGTGATGATCACTTTCGTATTGTTCCTGTTTATTCCGGTTATCATTATTATGGCTTGCTATACTGCTATTTCATACGATTTGCGAAGGATGGCAAGGATAGCCGAGAAGCAATGGGGACGTAAAGCACAAATGACCATCGCTCGCGTATTGGCGAAGAAAAAGTCAATGTGGACTGGTCTGATCATGTTTGTGGCTATTTTCTTTGTCTGGATGCCATATGCCATTATTTCGTTTCTCTCAGTCATTGGTACCCCAGAAAAAATCCCTCCTTTGGCTTTCGCCTTAGCAGCTATGTTTGCCAAGACCTCAACATTTGTAAATCCTCTCATTTGCTTCTTCTGGTATCATAAATTTCGAGATGGGACCAAAAGGATTTATAGAAATTCAAAGAGGATGGCATCCCTGCAAAAGGCATGGACCACTTCTTGTAATGAGGCAGCTTGTGAAATTCATTTGAGAACCAACTCTTACCCATATCATTCACCTGACTTCAGACAAGTGAGGTAAAACTGAACCATTTCCATTCCAACTGGGGGATAGCCCTCAAGTACGACCACTGAACATCCAGTAGGGAGCAGTGGAACAATAAAGCTCTATTTACGTGCAAAAGCTTCGCTGAAACGGAGTTACAGAAACGGCAAACGACGAACGGGACACAGGAAGACTAGGAGATACGTTTAATATTTAGAGACCGACAAAAAAACGGAGAGATAATGACAGTCGCAAAAAAAGACGGATCGGATAGAATAACATTCAAAGACATATATGTTTCACCAGGCTGAAAATTTCTCTTCATTAAGTTGATTTTACCTATTTAATTAAGAGAACAATCCAGTAAAAGTTGAGGAACAAAAGACTTTTCGAACAAGATCGAGAAGGAGATTTTATGTATAGGTCGAATCCTTTACAAGGATATTTACAGCCACATATTCCATACTGATTTACATATGTTTATTTAACTACTCGTCGTGTTCAAGGTACATTTATTGATATATATGTCATGGATTAATATAGGGTCATATCATTTGACCAACATATTTACAAACTTGTTTTGACCAATTAAAAAGGGGTTAAAGGTAAGGAGCATCCGTTCTCAAGCATTTGGTGATCTATGTAGTCAAAATCGTAACCGTTTTTCGTTAGTCAGTCGCGCCAATCATGCAAAATTGTTAATCTTTGCACAAACTTGACCCTAAATTTTCACAGTTAATTTTAGAGTTCAGTTCTAGTCGATCCGATGGGAACAATCAATTGTTCTCAGCCTAAAAGAGTCTTTCTCGATGTGTCCGTACAGTGAGAGATGTAAGAAGCTTGAAATATCATGGTATCCTATTTAGTCAAGGGCGAAGTTTACTTCTCCAATCATAAGCATGCAGACGCAGGCTTATTTTCTGGTAATCCGTATGAAGACGTTTGTTTAATGATATCCGTTGATAATGTGAGTCTCCTTATGCTCTGCCAGCTTTGCATGTTTTCCATAAACAGCCCTGATTTGTTGGACCCCAAACTGACCGTACACAAAGATCTTGTCACTTGAGTAACCCAGCGTTCTGAGCCCCTGAAGTACTCCCAGGACCATACGGGGCCCTCCGCACACAGCCACACGATGGCTAGACTCTTCTGGGAGGGGAAGGGTACTAGACAAAAACTTTGCATCAATATAACCTTCTCCTCCCTTCCAATCATCACAGTCGACTTCAAACACCGTGAATGAAGCTGTAAGACGTTTGTCATGTAAGGCGTATTTCTGCAATTCTTGGAGGTAAGGTATATCAGCTGGTCTGGCGGCACAGAGGACCAGGGTTACAGAGGTCTGGTCTTTAGGATTAGCCATTATTTCACGTATAATCTGAACAGCAGGCTGGCAGGACATACCTCCCACCACCAGAGTCAAATACTTGGTAGAATTAGGCTGATACTCGTATCCACCGCAAGGTCCGCGAAAATCTGCGGTATCACCTGAAGAAAAGATCAAAAAGTTCTTTGGATTTATTTTACCCAGGCGGTTATCATTGCCGATAAAAATAGTATTCGACACAGACGATACTGCTTAGTAGCAAACCATCTTCATTTCTCTCTCTCTCTCTCTCTCTCTCTCTCTCTCTCTCTCTCTCTCTCTCTCTCTCTCTCTCTCTCTCTCTCTCTCTCGAGGACCCCGGGAACAAGGCTAGGTACGCAATTTGACATCATAGCGTCAAACTGACGAAACGACTTTCAAGGTACTTTTTAAGTCTATTTCTATATTTGCGTGTGAAAATGAAAGAAAGAAAAAGAATCACCTTAGGTTTAATTATTATTGTAGGGGGAAAAGATTGGTAAACAACATTTATTTGCTTCAAGAAAATTTCCTCTAGGGTTTTAAGGAATACTACAACGACACGTAAGCGCCGTCGAACTCTAGTTAAGATAATCCGTCCCACAAACTTGATGCATTGGAAAATAAAGAACGAAAAGCCTATGTCAGTCTTAGTCTTAGTAGACGAAGGCTCGTCGTTAAAGAAGGAGCTGGATCATGAAGCATGTTGTTCGCTGAATTTTCAGAGTATAGGTTTACATTTAACTTCTAAATATTTTGTTATGTTATTCTCACCAATTTGAAGAGCACGGATGCAGTTGGAGAATATTCCATTGGTCTCATGTTTCAACAAGAGCGAAATTTTGCCCAATTCTTTTGCGCGTGATACAGGGGAGAGAAACCTCTGGTGTTTCCCAATCCTCACCAGGACGTATTGACCAGGGAAGCATCCAGTGAAGTCTGTAGCCTGGGGAAGAGAAAATGTGTACTCGGCAAGCGTTTCCCCGAGAGGTTTTACTGAGTGTAGTTTCAGGGCGGTGAACTCGTTTGGTCTGAGAGAAGGGTTGCGAGACGACTCGTCATCTATGTCCAGAGATTTCAACATAGTTGGAGGACTGGTGTTGAATGGATTTTCAAACTCCGAGTCTTGGTAAGAATTCTGAAGCTCGATGTTGTGGTTGAAATCGTTGTCTTCATTACTGGCTTCAATGAGAAGTTTGCGCGCCAGTTCTTTCTTTTCTTCTGCACTTAGCTTCCTCAGTTCTGAATTAAGCACACGTGTATCAGAAACCTTTCCCCTGAGAATTACAAGGGAGAGAAAAAAGTTATTTTCAAATACACTGCAGAAAATGAAGAAAGTCACTCGCCCAAGGCTCGCAATCAAACTTTTCGATCTGGAGTCCAACAGGCCTTTGTGTTTTCGAACTTGATGACTAAACGGAAGAATAAAACTGAAAAGATGACATTCTTAAAAAGCAAGAAAACTAATTCACAGGGTCGGAACAGTAAACTTTACTCACGTAAACTTTTCGATCATAACGAAATGCATTTACCCAAAGTAAAAGCAGAGTCAAACTCGAACAATGTAATAAAATTTCAATCATCTATTTCGAATAAACTTCTAGTTAACTAGTGTGGACATGAATGAATTAGTACCAGGATAAATTATTTACCAGAGGTCCAAGACTTCAAGCCCAAACAGGCTCGTTTTTCCAACAATTTGTCTGAGCACCTCGTTACTGGCGCCCATTAACCATCCTGCTTTGCCATCCCGGAGAAGGCGTTCCAGACCTACAATGTACATGAGCCAAACATGATGAGTTTCTTCATTATAAAGTTGAAGTTATCTCTATAGTCGGGTTACTTTGTGATGAGGATATTATGTTTTTACTACCAAGTTCCCTCATGATAGAGAGAGAGAGGTACTATAATGGGCAGGAGCCCCTGCATAAATGGAAAGTACAATAAGTCCCACCAAGGTCTGTAATCAGTCCAGTGCCTAGGCATTCCTTACGCGGTTAAACATGGACGTTTGAGTGAGCGTGGGAGACTGATAAAGAACAGCCCTTCCCAAACTATGCACGCTTACAGCTAAGGAAAAGAAAACGCCTGTTGGCAAGGCTGACCTGATTTGGGACCAAATAGGATTCGAAGTCCTGCACAAAAGCTGAGAGCGTCCCCCCTTCTATTGAAAACAGCCACCCTTCAGCCACTTATTCAGCCGCCTAAATCTGCGAAGTCTGTGAGATATACAGATGTCTTAGACTTCCCAGCTCCTCGCCTCTTTTCCTTTCACCTTGAAGAACCCGCTTTTCTTGATAGAACTTTTTAGTTACAGTGAAAATCACACACCCAAGAAACCAAGTCCTCTTTTGTATGCCACTTAGTAGCCTCGCTTAAGTTGACACTGAAACGAGGCTACTAACAAACAAGGCCTATTGTTAAAATATTTTTACCCACCAAGTTCTTTCTTATATCCAACTCCACCACAGGCGTGCATCATTTCATTTGTGACGGCATCAACGTTAGAAGCTGCCCTGATTTTGACTTGAAAACACCAATGATGGAACTGACCGCGACTACAAAAGGAATAATATAAAGATTTACAAATAAACGCTTAAAAAAAATTCCCGACCGATAAGTTATTAGAAAATAGCATACGTTTAACAAAAATGGGAGACGTGGTGGAATAGTTTGATGGAGGTGTATTTTATGCGGAATGTGATCGACATGTCATGATGCGATATGACACACTAGTATGATAACTCAAGTGATTATACAGATTCTCGCGCTCGGCGAGAACAAGGGCCTTGTTGGTCAAGAAGTGCGCCAGGACTTGTTATAATCACTCCACGTGAGGTCATTATGAAACATATTATAACATGAGTTGGTGTGACATATATGATATGACGTAAATTGACGCAAGGTTGACTAAAAACAACGTGAAGAAGCGTGAGGTGAAGTGGCGTCATGAAACGTAAAGTGACCTGAATTGACTTTATGCAACATTACGTCATTGTAAGATCCCCTCTGATTTAGGGTTTGAAATAAGAGTGGAATCTACGACATACATAGGTACCATGAACGGTTGTTCATATATGGACCAGTCGTTATCATTGGTCACTCGATCCATGGCTTGTGCCACACTGAACAACATCATACGGCTGCAGTTGGTTTCTGTAAGGGATCTTCCAAAGTAGTCCTATTCAGAGATGAAAAAAAGATAGAGAAAATAGCCTGTTTTAGTAAGCTTGATAACAAGGATTCCATAAAAAATATATAACTGACAAATAAAGATTAACAGAAGAATGTAAATAATGAAGGAAAGAGAATGGAAACGAAAGCGTTTTGTTTAGTTTAGTTAAGAGGTTATAGAGCCTTCTTCTCTCAATCCAAATAGAATATCAGAAAATAGGGGCGGGAGGGGTGGGGGGCACTAGCATGTTACCTGTATAACTGGATAGTCCGCCACGCGCATCCCCTTATCGACATGTTCTGTTCTAATCACGTGTTTTTTGGCAATATCCATAGAACCCAGGGAAATTCCATTCCAACAGGCCGAGCTGAATAGTAGGAAGTATGGGTCGATGACTTCATGTGCAGCTAATGGAAATTCACCTATTTATAAAGAATGAAATGAGGTTCGGTTGTATACGCATAGAAATGTAATTTATCAACAAACAAAGATTGTTGAAACCAGCTTATTACGAACGTTAGACTAAGTAAAAGTTTAAGTCCCCCGCGAGCTTAGGAAAATCAAACTTTCAGATCTTGTGGCCATGTGTTGTACCAGCTAAGCTACAAAGAACTTGCTGATGAGCGAGGTCATCACTGGATTCATATGCGATAAGTGTTCAGCATACTGCTGGAATTACAAGGGCGGATCCAAGAATTTTTCATATTGGGGGTCCAAATTTTTATTTACACCATAGCTTAAATCACGTAATATATGATACAGGACAAGTAAGTATTGAATACTATTATGTAGTAACATACGATACTGTAGTTGCAAGAATTTTAATTTCAGACAAGTACTAAGATAACCCTAGTCTCGTGCCCAGACCTTTCACGGCCAGTTACACGGTAGAATCTGGGTACGAGATTAAGAGAACCTGTAGGTCTAATAGGAGTGGGTTCGGCCCCCTCGTGATTCTCCCCCTAGATCAACCTATAGATCAGAGATTTCAAAACCGCCCTGTGATGATGAAATCTATTAGTGGAAATGCAATAGAATGTTCTGGTCCAATAACACTTACCAAAGGAACCAACAAGTCTGTCTGGTGACAATAGACCTTCACAAACAACAGGGCTAGACTGGTTACCGCGCATGCCCAACGCAGACCAGTCATCGGTGCTGGAACGCACTTCGTTCTGTTGAGTTTTATAAAAACATGATGATGGGATCAGCATACGAGATCGTAAAAATTATCGCTTAGCCTGGATGGGGAGCACACAAATGATAAAATATTATCGTTTATGTCACGATTAAAGTCACTTTGGAAGTAGATCGCAAGATTCCAGTCATTCTTGACTAGGTGATGACGTCAACTTATGAAGCCCACTACGCCTTTTTGACTGGTTGCTTTTCAAAATAAGTAATTGACTAATTTCCATTTCGAGTATTCGATCCTTTGGTCAGTTCAATGCTGTATGGCTCTCGTGTTGTTGTTTGTTTCTTTGCGTTTTTTTCTCTTTTTCGTTATTGTGGGCATGCATGCCATGCTCCTGGAATGTCTATATTATTTTATTACATCACAAACAACCATTTGAAGAGACAAACGAGAACACTTTTCTTTTATCAACGCACAAGGTTTACCTTAAACATAAGAAACAGACTCAGATTCATGTAGTCTCCTCCGAATGATGGACTTGTACTTTCAACAACGTAGAAATCTGCAAATCCAGCGCTTGTTACCCAAGCACCGTGACGTAAAACTTGAATGGTGCCGTCATCATATTGCTTAGCTTTGGAGTTGAATGGAAACCAATTATGTCCGCCTGTGGAGAGACAATAAATAGGTACGCATTGTGCACGTGAGTCATTTGCAAGAAGGTTAGCAAAAGAATAGAATATTGATGAAATCTATCATTTGTTTGGTCTTCTTCTCAATGGAGACAATTGTATGACAATTGACGGAAGGATTAGAGAGAAATTTTATCTCCGACGTTCAGTTTTTTCCTTCTTTCAATCTTTATTTAATTATGAAAAACTTTGTGTTGGGACTCAATTATTGAGCGCACTCAGCAGGAATAGCTGAAAGATGTGCATGCACGCCTTTTATCGATAAGGCCTTGGTTCGATTCACATCTACATAGAGTGTGAGAATTTTATGATGATTTTGTTGTGAAATCAAAATATTTTGGGGGGCTATCTGCTGATTTACCTCCTTCAGCAAAAACGAAACAGCCAAAATCGGAAATTGTGATTTCGACTTGGAATCAGGAGACAGAGAGCCACATTGTGAATGTAAAAATACTAAAACCTTATATTTATCTATTAACCTTTTAACTACCAGGATCCGATTATTAGTTCTCCCCTTCGGCTGCTACACATTTCCTTATAAATTAGTTGCAAGAATTTGGTGTTAGATCAAGATAACTTCTACCTAATACATTTGAGTACTTTCATGACCTTCTTGCTGGATAGTAGATAGATATTTGAAAAGTTGTACGTGAATCACATGTGTGAGTTAAAGGGTCAAGTCATCCAGTCATTCATTCATTTATTCATCTATTTATTTATTTATTCATTTCATCACTCCTCTATATTACATTTGCGTACCTGTCGCGGGGTCACTGAAAACCAGGGTGCCAATCAACTTGTCACTGTCAAGTCTTCTCAGCAGATCTTGGATTGTTTTGTTATTGTGATGTCGGAATAGCAAAGAAGCGACTGCACCTAAATGCATAACTGCAAAACGAAGAATACAAAAATTTTATGTGAACTTTTGATAAAGACGCCCCGGTACAGTTTTGTTATGGCAAATCTTTGATGGATTTATGGTACCACTATTTTTCATGAATTTACTTGAAAGCAGTGTGATACAAATGCCAAATATTTTTTGTCATGTTATCATTTTCCCTCACATGATATATGGTTACCTTAAAAACAGTGTCTCCCTCTTAGAAGTACCCTCAAATTTAGGTAAATATACCTGTTACTCTTAAACAAATTCAATGTCTCGTTTATGGCAGAATTTTTGCTTCTCGTGAAACGAGGACTCACCATAGACCATTGCAGTGCTTGAACAACCATATCGTGCTATTGTCTCCACGACCATTGCTGCACACACGTGACTCTGTCCCAGGCCACCAAACTCTTTAGGCACGATAAGTCCCAAAAGACCAAGAGAAGCCAAGGCATCCATGCTCTTCCTTGGAAATGTATAAGTATCATCGCATATTGCCTAAATATTTATTGGAACACTTTTAGTTGGCATATAACTAAAATGTCTCATTTGATGTGATGATTAGGTGTTTTTGGTATTGAGGTAAAGGACTGGTCATTTTTTTATCGTCCCTCCGTTCCCCTGAAAACCATGTGACCCCCCTTAACCCCCCCTCACCCTAGCGATACATGAAAACTGCTCCTTAAGGCTTCACGAGTAATGTGGCTTCACTGTGTTCTTAGCTCCTCTGTTCCTTCCCTGAAAAAGGGGGGGTGCCCTTAACCTTTTGTTCACATTTTCTCATAGGCGAACGTCTTGGATTCAATATACTTTGAATTTTTATCGACTTTCATTTTGCTGCTGAAGAGTCATTAATCATCTAATAACCTGCCTTTCCTATAGGTCATACTTAATATTTCACCAAGGCATGCACCACTGATTGGTGTGGCCGTAGCTACAACAACTCTTAAACTCAATGAGACCGCTGAACAGAAAGCGCAGCACATACTCGAGTTCCTTCCAGAACTGTTACCGACGACTCTTGCTTTGTACCTAGTACGTTAACCCATTAAAATCCAAGAGTGAACAGCATCTAATTTTCTCCTTACAGTAATAGCGCTGAATCCTTCATTAAGGTTATGACAACGAACGAAATTATCGCCAGCTTATAAATCTTTTTAAATCGAATTCTCCTTATCAGTACCAAAGAAAATTTATACAGAAGGGTATGGAGAATATTGATTCTGATGTTCGGGTGTATAGGGTTAAAAAAAAAAACTACAGGGAAACAATAAAACGAGGCAAATAACTTTACATCGTTTCCGGCCGGCTCAGCTCATTAGATAAATGATTTGTTTACAATGACATTCATAGTTTCCTCGATTCACAATATTGTGGGCGCGCCAATCTAATTGTGGTCGGTCAAAGTCGTTTGGCTCAATATGAAAGAAATATCCGATTTAGTCATGCCAGGAAAATGATATTTGATTGTGTTTTGGATTTCCTTTGTCGATTGATCCTTCCACGTCCGTCTTTTGTTTTGTTGAGTAGACTAGACGATTTTCCAACCCCTTGATACGAGGTGATCATACATCCATGACTTACACCATCTCGTGCTCAAAACGGGATCAGGCTTCTGATAGATTCCGAAGTATTATTACTGGCTGAGAATGAGCATGAAACAGCTAATAGGGCTTTGAGTTACAACGAGGAAGATAAGAAGCAATGTTTTTAAAGAAATACTCAGTTCTTATTTGGAATTGAATCTCAGAACTTCTTTTTATCAGTCTGATGTTATACCTACAAGCCACAGAAAGTTCTTGAGCGAGTCCTAATGCCACGCTGAAAGGAAAGAACTATGAAATTGTGGCTATGAAGTTCTTTAATATAATGAAGGACAGTCTATGCTTTTCTTTGTCAGAGTAGGCCTTTGATCGTGTATTTAATATCTCTATAAGCTTATTTACTCACTCCAAACTATTTCCTGAGAATTGAAGGAATTTTGCTTAATTTGATACTGGCATGCGGGCAGACGTGCGTCCCCCCATGATAATCACAAGTACACCAGCTTGAACTCAAAATCGTACGTCTTTTTTTTGTAACTTTTTAACCTAATCCTCTCTCTTGTATAAGAAGACACGTTTTATGTCTGGAGTTTCAGTTTGCTGGCATTTGTACATTTTAAAACCCAATGAGACAGTTTCAAGTCTCCCGATAGTGATGGCAAAGAATTCAAGAAAGCAACCTTTGGATCTCAACATCTGCAGAAAAAATTTTCTAAGCCTCTCGTGATTTTTGCGATGTCAGAATACCTATAGGAAAGGCAATTGATAACGTCAAAAAGATCAGATAAGTCCTCTGTGAGAAATAAACTCCTAAAGATAAATTTGACAATCTTAGGGTTAAGCCCAGACGCCAATATCCATCTGGACCAGCCAAAGCGTGTTATTTAAATAACAAATTATCTTTTAGAACTTATTTGCGACTGAACAAGGCCACTATTTTAGCCCGAAAACATGCAGACCAAATGAAATTAAGGATGATATATGGCTTTGTTGATTGTAATAAAGACACAAACCCTTGGAAAATAAATCAATGAGTTGATGCACGTTGCTTTCATATTATGACGAAAACAAAATTCCAGCACGTAAAGATATGCGTTTCAGGGTGCAACACAATATAAAAGAAAGTGTGGCAATTAGATCTGTATGGGAAAAATTTTCTCATACGACTCATCTGTCATTTTAGAACTGATACTTCTTCACAGCTTTTTCCTTATCTTTCATGAGTGACAAGCTTATTAAAAGATAAAAAATTTGTGTCAATTTTAGCTTGCACTCAGTATCGAATCAAGGACAAGTAAATCCGAGTCGTCCTCCCACAAAATCATAAGCCAAACTTGTCCCTATTTAGCAAATTTTTGAAAGCTTCTGGCTCTCCATTTCTTAAAGTTTCTCAACAGGTATTTTTCGTTTATTTCCATGGCGAATTGATTATATCCCCCTCCAACTTATGCTTGATTTGTTTCCTTTCCCACAAACAAGGGCGCTCCTTCGTATTGTTCCGATTTGCTCAAGTTCTAAGTGGTCTAGAGTTATAACAGTACATGCGATGTCGAAGGACTCATGCTGTGTTTGTCTCACCGCCAAGGCGAGATAGTCATGACCCCCCTTAAAATACACTTAACTTGTTTCCTTTGCCAAGGAAAAGGGCGTTCTCTCATATTGTTTTAATTTTCTCACGTCCTGGGTGGTCTCGATTTAAAACCGTACATGCGATCTTGAACGAGTTATATTGTGCTTGTTTATTCTTTTCTTCTAGAATCAGGAATCATGGTTTTAGACGAAAACATGACCTAACTGTTGCAAACTAGCAGAAGATTGCCTATAATTTAGCCAAATAAATATTATTTTCGGAAGAGGAAATTTTTCGTAATCATGACTCGATAGTTATCGTGATCATGGCTTTATGATGAAACTTCACCGATAATGCAACGTGGAAAATTTTTTGTTTTAAGAGGAATTAAATCACCATAATTTCTAGACACTTGAAGTGCGCTCATCGAGAGCTGCGATGTCAGCAAGAGATAATTCAGAAAAAGTCACGATTTAGAAATCTTTGAAAATGAATTGTTTTTCCTGTTTTCAGATATCAAATAAAAATATGTGAAGTTCGAGAAGTGACTTAATCAAATCAATGCGGTTCGTTCGAAACTGACCCAGATGCAAGTTTATGAACAAAGATTGGAGTTTTTTAAGAAGAAAAACAACTGTATAATGACATTCTGAAATCATACTTCTCTTGCTTTCATCTTTGCGTATGAGACCTAGAATCTTCGCATAAATTGACGATATTCATAGTTCTGTTTTTTATCATTCTTTGGATTTTGTAATTGACCTTTCTTTGACATAGACAAAATTATTTCACGTACATGTAATTTGAATTTTAATTTATAGTATCGATTTCAAAGAATTATTTGGGGGGGGGGGCGGGGGGGAATTCGGGGGGAGAAGGGAAAGGGGGATAGAATCATCAGTGGCGAATGTAACACGACTAAGATGCAAGACCAAACTTTTCCCCACCCCCTCGGAAAGGCGTTGAGCACCCCCTTGCGTCGAAGTATCGACCATATGCACCCGTTAAGGGACATCATTGATAATTATTTCCGATAACATGACATTTTTGTTGAAATAGATAACTTTTCCCCCACGTAAAACATTACCCAGCGATAACTGATTAATTTCGTTTAACAAAAACTGATCAAAGTGCGTTTTCGTAAAGCTCTGTTTTCAAAATGTTTTCCCTTCGCGTTTAGACCCAACAGCGGATAAAATTTATCCACTTTGGAGAACATTTTCGTAAATACAGTTTTGAGCGAAATCATATGCACCCGTTAAGAGACGTCATTGATAATTGTTTCCGTTAACATGAGATTTTTGTTGAAATAGATAACTTTTCCCCCACTTAAAACATTACTCAGCGATAACTGATGAATTTCGTTTGAAAAAAATTGTTTGCACATGTTCGTAAAGCTTTGTTTTCAAAATTTTTTCCCTTCGAGTTTAGACCCAACAGCGGGTAAAATTCATTCGCTTTGGAGAACATTTTCGTAAATACAGTTTTGAGCGAAAAATTTATTCGGAGAAGTATGGACGACGGCCCGATCGTTTAAGTTTTGAATTTATCCTTTGCAGTACGGACATGACAGGGCCTAAGAAGACACCTCATATCTTCCTAACAAAGAGTCCCCTACTGCCAAAGAACTAATGCGGAATATATCTAGTACCGATGGGTAGTTTCCCAACCCGCATTTCTTACCCAGAATCCACAATATGAAATACACTCTACAGTTACAAAATATGACGGAATTTTTTAGCGAAGCTCAAAACTGTTCACAATGAATTTAGGCTAATGTAATATGCAATGTGCCCTCCCCTAAGAGTGGTAGAGTGACACTCGGAAATTTAGATTGTCCTAAAAAGAGGAAAATTGTAGAGTTTCCGTTGATTCTTGAAACACAGGAATTTTATTCAAAAAAGGCCTTGGCGAAAACAGGAAGAAGAAAATTAGAAGACTTAATCCATGAATGCATTTCGTCTATAATCTTAATCCGACAGCGCCAGCGCTGATCAGTTTTCTATTTCGAATGCGTGTTCACACTCTCCTCGTTCCTCGTTCCTCGTTCCTCTTTCCACGCGCGAACTCGCTCCAATTTTCGCCACGAAATTGCAAAAGAAAACTCTTTTTTTCAATAGTCGTCTTACAAATTTGAAATTAAATTCAAGATAATGAATTAACATGGTGTAACTCGTTATACCAAAAACTTACTGCGTTGGGTCTGATGAGTGTACGACAGCATTCTATTAGTTTCAGCTGTATTTCCTTTTGTTCCTCGTTCAATATCCATTGTGGATCGTACTGCCAATTCATTCCCCAGAAATCCTTTCCATTGCCCCAATTTTTCGTAGAAAGCGATGCCATTTAGTAGCTCGTACAGTGCACCAGACCTAGAAAACTTTTTTTTTCCACGATTTGAATACTGTTGATGTTGTAGTCTCGATGACGAAAACTATCTGATAAACTTGAGACAGGAGAAGGATTATATACTATATCTGTTGACACTGAGCAATTGACCTTTTGTCGCGGAGACATGAATGATTTCACGAAGACATTTACGTTGAATTAATAACTTGTTTTTTTTGACGATCTCAAGTCTTACAGGAAGTAGAGATATATGGAAAACGTCACGCTATTTGCAGGAAGTCGACTATCCGCAAATTCCTAAATGACATGAGTAAAAGTGTTCGACACAGTAATAAAAATTATCAGTTGAAATTAAGTTTGACTGATTTTCGACAAACTTAAGAGCATACGTATATTTTATCACAGGGTCTTTCTTTATCTCCTTCGGTTTTTAATACATCATCGGCCTTGTTAAAAAATAGACAATAGAACCCCTCGTTAACTCGATTAAGATCGGATTTAAAGATTTTATATTTCCTCATTTTCTGGCCATTTACTATCAGCTACCTCGAAATTTCCATTAGGTCGAGTTAATTCTACTCTCCCTTGGCTCAAATGTACCCTGATAACTCGAAACTTTAAGTACTAACGTCGTTCGTTCGAACATAGCTGATTGACAGTTTCCACTCTTTCCTAATCGCGATTGGTAAAAACGTGATATGAAAACGTGAGCTATTTACAAGGCAAAAATATGTTTTAAAAGTCAAAACTAGACGTTTTTGATCATCATCAGGGTAAATAAGCAGCGTATGCTAAATTGCATGTTTTATATCCCTCGGTAATTCCCGACGAAAAAATTTCTGCAACATAGGAGCTAATTTGTCTCTTGACATAGGCTTCAAATGTTTGCTAATTAGGCCTTCAAGGATTTTGCCCATATATAAAAGGATAAAAGAACTCTAAGGATTATCCCACCGGATGTGACGGACAGGTTCAGGGTCTGTCAATAGATGTGTTTATGAAAATATGGTACATTTAGCTCATTACACTTCTCAAACTAAACGTTCTTATTAAAAATAAGCTCTTATAGAAGAGACCAAATGTATGAAAATTAATTTTGATGTTACAAGGATGGTAAAAACATGAATCCGTATTAATAACAGACGGGAAATTGAAATTCAACTCTAATCCTGATAATCTTGAACCTTCGATAACTCGAACCAATTCCCGTTTCCTTGGGAAGTTCAAGGAAGCGGATTTCGACCGAAAAGAAAATCACACCATTAGATCGTTGCACTAGTTGCTGCTGTAAAATTTCTACACTATATCGCTGTTTTATCGGTTTAAACTTTGTCTTCTCGTTTGATTTTTAAATACTCTGTTTAATCTTTGATTTTACCTTGTCCTGGGATCTAAACATGTATTTCCGCTCCGGAAGTCTGAGCCACTTGCAACATATAAAAACTAAAGTATAATTAATCAACAAATATTAACTATAATGCATGTAGAAGAATGCTGGTTTGGCCAGCTGGTAAAAAGCACGGAAAAAAAACACATTAGTTCTATCATGTATCAGTCTCTGCTTTTATACAATACGCTCGCTCAATGACATCGTCAAGATCACAACTTTGTTGCTACAAGAGGTTAGGTTTACCCTTGCTTTGAAAATTTGTATTTGTTCCTTTTCATTCCTTCACGTTGGGACAAAAAAATTAATATTTCCGAAAAAATATGAAATGGCAAAAATTTCCACCTATAGGATTTACCTGTTGATTCAGGTGACAGTAATCGTGAAAAAATTTGTTAATACATGTGTTCCGCTTTTTGGAATTAAGGAAATTCGTGTGACCTGGATCAATCACATATCACTTTCTTGCATGACCAAACCTCAATTTCTCACAGCTCTAATTTGGAAAAACACCAACAGAAAGAGATTTTAAAAAGTAGTACGTCAGCAGTCTTGAATAATGCGACTTATTAGTTAGAAAATGCTTCTGAAACACCAGATCACGGTCAAAAATCTCCAATGCTGTTGGCAGCAAATTCTTTGTGTAGATGAGGAACTTCAGCTGATGCAAAAAACTCTGTATGATGGGGCATGCGTAAACTGATCATGATCTAGACCGATGATTTTTTCGCCTTATATCATCTATTTTCCCCACTATCAAATCGGCTGGTCGCTTGTGGCAGATTGAAGAATCATGAGCGAAGAAAAGAAAAAGAGAAACCAGAAGCTCCTGGAGAAACTCAGATTATTTGCGTCAACATCACATGACATCACGCTTTGTGACTGATTGACCTTCCACGATCGGGGATCGATTATGAATCATTCTGAACTTTTCTTTTCTTGGCATCTGCCTAAATGATTCTCTCCGCACTTACACGCAAATGAAAGTAGTCGATAAATTAAAAAAATAAATAAGTAAATAAATATATATATGAAAAAGCCATGCAAGTTAATCGCACAACTGCGTTGCTAGAAATGTACGAGATTGACTGGGAATGAGTCTCCCCAGCTCCCACTCCTACTGGTGCACGTGTAATGGCGGCCAGATTTGAGTTCTTATTAATAGTTTCGGAGAGTTTCGGAGTATAGTTGTCGAGATTACCGCTATATTTGGACACGATGCCTGTCACAACAAAAAGAGAAATATCTACTAATACCCTAGAATGGATTGGTAATGGCACTATAGACGATGGAAAAGTATTTTACAGGTAATGTCAGATATGTTTTCGATCGCTCGCAGAAAGATCAAAATTCTTACTGTTTCGTATAAACGTACGACAGTTTAGAGTCAAATCTAACCTTGTAACTTCTTAAATCTTCCTCTCTATTTCTCTCTGTTCGTCAGCCAATGCAAAGTTAACGGAATCCTGATCAAGTGTGGAGATGATGTGGTTATACTCGGACGCACGGGGCGGCGTTCCATTGCACATGTACAGAAGTTATATGAAATTGAGGAATCTAAAGATCCCAACAGAGCTATAGTACAGTGGTATTACACTTATGGTGAAATCTCAGAACTCAAAGGGAAGAAACCTGCTGATATCCCAAAATCTTGGACAGAATTATTGCTACCAAGTGAGGATTGTTGTAGTTCTAAAGATGATCGTATTAAAGCTGAAGATATGTGGAGAAAGTGCAATGTTGTAAAGTTAAAACCGCAAGATGAAGTTCCAGATTATTTACAAAGTTCTTATCGAGACGGTCTTTATTATATTCGCTTTAAATTTGACCAGAATTACAACCTTCATCCTGTTAATAAAAGGCTTTCTAGGAAGTCTACATCAAACACAGAACAGACCATAGAAAGAGGGATAAATAATGTCAGAACTTCAAAGCAAACCCCAAGGAAACCAAATAACACTGCAAAAACACCAAAAGCAAAAAAGACGCCAGCTAAAGAAAAGGGTAAGTAAGGAGCTGATATGTAACAATTTTGTTATGAGGTTGAGTATGGGGAAATGTCATTTAGATTAGGTTAAACCCTAGATAATGGTGGCCAGCTTTCTAAGGCATTCTTTCAGTACATAATTAGGTCTGTACTGCTCTGTTTGATGCCAAGCTGTTTTTGATTTTGTTGCCTCTGTCACTCACTTGGCTTCAGCCTTTGTGCCCCTATCCCTCCCCTCCCACTAAGATCTTCAGTCAACAGAGCCTAGTGGTGGCCTTTCACAGTGTTGTCTTGGTTACCTTTCCCACCTCCTTATGGCTCCAATAGACTCTCCAGGCACCTTCCCCTCACTCATCAATTAATTACAAGTTTAAGCATCGTAGTGCAAATTTTCATGGCCAGGATTTGTATAAATTTATTTTTTCTTCCAAAGCGCAAGGCAGCCAACCACTAATCAGAGTCAAATATCCTATTATTTTAGGGAGCTTAGGGAGATTCCAAGGGAATGGAATGGGCTAGCCAAAAGTAACAAGAACACTAGAGAAATTAACAGTTTTAAACAGATACTTTACAATAATGTGTTTCATATGAAATAATTTGGAATATATTTTGAATTTCACTAAATTACTGTAAATAAGTTAGTTTTCTTAATTACCAGTGCTATGTAATAGTTAACATTGTAACTGAAAAGCCCTGTTGAAGGGAGTCTTGATAAAGTATGTATGTATGTATGTATGTATGTATTCCCATCTTTGAATATGGCTGTATCCCTCACCACTTATTGTGTTTCAACATTCATTGTAGTTGCAGATAATTCCACTTCAAAGACAAACAAGAAGACTCCCAGGAGTACAAAGAAATTAACAATTGAAAAAAAGTGCATGGTGTCTATTGAGCCATTGATCTTTGATAGAGACACTGGAACTTCTTTAAAAAGAAGAGCAAGCCGCAGTGTTCCAGATGAATCTGCAGTGACACCTAAAAGAACAAAGGGTTCCAATAGTACAAGAAAAACAAAAGAACAAGTTATGTCTCCAAGGCAGAGATATGGTATGTTTTTTTATATATTGCTATTGAGGATAGTTCATGGTTGGTAGGTCTGTGACTTTCTGTGCTGCTGAAACCTGGGCTTAAAAATCTTAGACCTTGTTGCAAAAATTTTCAGACGCTAAGATACACAGGAGGATATGAATGAGCACTGTTTGAATTGGAGAGATTTCAAGGCCCCTAACCTTATTTTAGTCACTGCTTTATTTACCACTTCAACTTATTATTTGGTTAATTTGGTGTTTCAAAAAAAATAATTGAATATAGACTCAGGTTGGGAGGAATATTTGTCAAGATAGAGGGATGAATTATATGGATGGGAGGGGTGGCTGAGAGATAGGGTATTTGCAAAGATGTAATCAGATCCATGGCCTCCAACTCCTAATGTCTGTTTGACTCTATGTGTAATATCTTTGATTATAAAAGCTTAGAGTGTATATCTCTTTATAGGTACAGCAGAAGTCTTAGAGCAAGTGCTTGAGAGTGAGTCAAGATGTAGTGATGACCAGGACGATGATGATGATGATGATAATGATGACAACATCAGTGATGATGATGATGATGATGATGATGATTTCATCCAAGTGATGTTAGTGATTTATCAGATGGCAATGATGGTGACGATGATGACGATGAAGATAATGATTGGGTTGTGGAAAAGATTGGTAAAGCAAGAAGTAAGATTTTTATTTCCTAAGTTTTCAGTCACCTTTTCTCAGCACATTTACTACAAACATTGCAGGAAAAAAAGTTAAGTAGAATTTATGATGGATCTCATGTTATTTTCCACATTTTCTATTTTTTAAACAGCTCAAGGAAAATGCACACCAATAAGAATACTAAGATCATCGTCCAAGAGCAAGAGTTCATACACAGCAATACAGGACACAGCCAAGGGTGATACTAATTATGTAGATATAAAAACAATATCTGTACCATTGTTATTGTAATAATTGGAGATTTCATGCCTACAATGTGCATTGTATGGGAAACTCAGGAGTCAACTAAGAAATGATCTTTGCAGGTGAACTTCAAGTTTAGCAATAGTAGAAAAGACATTTTTCAAATTTGTGCCTACCAGATACTTGTTGATCACCACTGCTAAGCAAATTAGCAAGCCACTTGTTAGGAGAGAGGCACATTTTACTGGGAGCATAGAACTACTCTGGTTAAAGGGGCAAGGTATCATTACCTTAGCATATCTAAAGGGAACCCGACTTCATAATTCTTTCAACAACAAGAATGTAAATTGCAACTCAATCGGTTACTTTCATCTTCCTTTTTTTTTTCTTGTGTCATTGCGACTGAAGGCAAAAAAGGAAGGGGATGTTAGTTTATCAAGAGTAATTTTGGGTGGCCTCTATCAAAACTTTTGATAGACTTTGATAGGACTTTGAATACACCTGCAAGCTTGTAAGGGCTTTATTCAACTTTTTTGAATGTCTACTCAAAGCTATTTTTAATTACTCATAGGTAAACCTACTGCTAAAACTCCATCCAGAGTAAAACCACCTCTCAAAACACCTCAAAAACACTCTGCACAGAAACTTGCAAAAACTCCAAAGACTGAGCCAAAGACACCAAAGACACCAGCCAGAAACAGCTGTAGGCAGCCATCTCAGAAGAAAATGATGACCCCAAGCATTCCTGAGAGGCAGCAGCCTTGTAAAACACCAGGAACACCTCTTGAAATGGCTAGAAAAAAGTATGTATTTGTTTCATAGTTCAAGATGATTTAGTTTTACCAACTGACTTGATGGAGCAATTTTCAATTGACTGTTAAAAACTAAAAACAAAGGTAACACAACAGCCAATCACATCAAAGGTTTGCGTCATCACTTGCCAATGAGAACCCACAGTAAAAACAGGCAAAGTACAAAAACCGAGGGAAAACGCGGGCGACCAAGTGACGATTAGTTTTTTTTGGCGTCTTTTTGGTTGAGAGCATGGCGCGAGCTTTTTGGACCAATCACAAACCAAGGTAAGGCAAAAAGCTATCCCAAATTACTTCCGGTAGTTAATTGGAAATTACACTAATGTGCATTGGCCACCACAGAGGTCCATAGAGAGAATCGACAATCTCTTTACATTGGGAAAAACCCTCGATTTTAATCTCATGACGGTGGAAGATTCACATTAATTCCGTCTAGTGTAATATCCTCACTGATGCAGTACCACAGTTTCTTTAGAAGTTCACTCCTTGTTTCATAGTCCAGTAAGTTTGCTGTAGTATCTTCCGAGAAACTTCTGTTTTCGTAAGAAGTATAAAAATTTACTGTCCAAGCGATGCGGAGTTGCGTAGGATTAGCTTTACTTCTCTCTGTGATTGGTCTAAAAAAACTCGTGCCATCTTTCCAACCAATTAGATGCAAATCTTAAACCAACAGCGATTCTGTTACTCGCGTTTTCCCGTGCTTCGTACTGGTTACCCGTTTTCACTTTTAGTTTTCAATGGCTCGTGATATTTTCCGTTATTCCGATTGGCTGTTGTGATCAATCACTCAATTTATAGGTGTCATGACTTGGAATGAGTTTGCCCTCACATCTGAGCCAGAGGCTCGTGTATAAACGCATGATTACAGTGGTTCATGTTTTATGACACTATCAAAAATTCTCTTTGTTGGTTTCCATGTCATCTGTTTTGTTTGTAATTTCAGACTGCATGTGTCGGCAGTTCCTTCGTCTCTTCCCTGCCGTGAGAAGGAGTTTACAGATATCTTTAACTTTGTGGAGGGGAAACTTGAGGACGGAACGGGGGGGTAGGTCATGGCTAGTTTACGTTGTTTTGTTACGCGTGGATAAACTGCGCTTGGAATTATGAAAAACATTAATTCACAATTACGAAGTGAAGAAGAACTCAAAGGTGACGAAAGCTGTTGGGATGAGCAAAGCTGATAGGATTACAACAAATCGCGTATAGGTATTGCCAGCTTAAAAATAGTTTATCGCAATTGTTATGAGGACATAAAAGCTGGTCGACTCCTCAACTGATCAGGTCTCAGAGCAGTTTTCAATTGATTGTCGAAAAACCAAACCAAAGTAATCCTAGGGACCAATCAGAACAAGGGATTACATAATCATTAGCAGATGAGAACTCGAGGTGAAAACGAGCAGCCGGCCTGAAGCGCGGGAAAACGCGAGTGACAAAGTCGCGATTGTCTTTAGTTTTGCATCTGATTGGTTGAAGGATGGCGCGAGTTTTTTTACTCGTCACAGAGCAAAGTTATGTAAAACCAAAGGGGTTCCGTATTACTTTCGACATTCAATTGAAAATTGCTCTGATCCCGTTTGACTGTAGGTTTTTTTTATTGCTGTCTTCTTTTGTTTGTGAATGCAGGTGCATGTACATCTCTGGAGTTCCGGGGACTGGAAAAACAGCCACTGTACATGAAGTATTACGCAGCATACAAGAGGACGAGGACCTGCCGGAATTCACGTTCGTGGAAATAAATGGAATGAAGCTAACAGAACCAGCACAGGCTTACTCCACCTTCCTTAAAGTTAGTAACTGTAGTAGTCATTAGTAAAAGAAATACAATCTGTTATCAAAAGTGATTTAGCATATGATTACTTTTGCTTCACAATGCTGTGTGGTTGGCTAAGAAAATTCACGCCATTCTACTCACCAATCAGATGCCGACCTAGAATCAATCTTGATTTTGTAACTCCCGTTCTTTCCGTGTTTGAGATCAGTCGCTCGTAGCGCGCGAGCAGAAGGACTCGTTATTAGTGTTTCGGCCCGAGCGTTTCTTCGGTCGTGCGAGGGTATGAAGCCTTGAGCGATGCGACCCGAGGTCAGCAAGGGGTCTGGCACACAGTATTAGTGCCAGATCCCCCGGAAACCTCTCCTCGACTCGTCTCAATTCTTCCCGCCGGCGGAGAAATGCTTGTCGTGCAGCACTGAAAATGAGGGCCTCCTCCCGCAGGCTAGGTCGCTCGGTTGTACTTCGAGATCCATTCAGCTCTTTTTGATATTATCCTCTGCTCTTATTTAGCATCGCTCAAGTGAAAATACCGCATGATTCTTTCCTAGGATTGTAGTATTTTTGTCGTTACATATAAAAGTTCTAAGCTTACAAGTCTCTTCTTCAACTATTTGTAGCTTCTAACAGGAAAAAAGGCAACACCGGAGCACGCCTCTAATCTGTTGGATAAACTTTTCAGTACACCAGCACCTAACAGGGACCCTGTCGTCTTATTGGTGGATGAGGTACCAATCAAAAGAATTACTTTACTAGACCTGTTGTCATTCCTCTTTAGTTTTCAGGGCGACGCAGGCATCTTTTACCGCGAAGACCTAGGACTGAATGATTTATTCAATGTCTCCTTCCGTTTTCAGTTAGACCTTTTATGGACGCGTAAACAAAACGTGCTGTACAACCTGTTTGAATGGCCGACACGGAGACATTCCCGGCTGATCGTGCTCGCCATTGCTAATACCATGGATCTGCCGGAACGAATTATGATGAAACGAGTTTCCAGTCGATTGGTGAGTAGTTTTACGGTCTCTTAGTTTGTTTGAGTGGCAGTGATTCTTTAATTGAGCGTGTTAAAACAAATCCAGAGTAGTCATAACAGCCACTAAGAGCTTCTTGGATTTTGTTTTGTTTTAGGGACTGACACGGCTGACTTTTCAGCCCTACACGTTTTCACAGCTACAGGAGATTGTGATGTCTCGTATCGTTGGTTTAAACGCTTTTGAGCCGGATGCCATACAGCTGGTCTCAAGAAAGGTAAAGAAAAACGTATGCGCATGCGTTGAAAAATCGTTTGCCCCAAGAAAGGTGAACCATAAAGGAAGCGTTGAATTGTTGTTGATATATAAACTAATTTCAGTAGTTCGAGTAGCCTCGAATTGAACCTAAGACCAAATTAGTCTGGATTGCCTGACTCAAAGTCAACCGAGAAGTGAAAGTTACACGTCATAGTAGTGCTCTTCTTCGACGGATCTGGATTTGATCTGTCTCTTAATTGTTTTGTTTCAGTTTGTTTTCTCTGTTGACTTTTTTCAAAGGTGGCAGCTGTCTCCGGTGACGCTCGCCGCTGCTTAGACATCTGCCGCAGGGCAGTGGAGATCGCAGACTCACAGTCTAAGAAGAAGGGAACAGCACTGGTGGGGATGAGTCACGTGGACGCTGCGTTGCAAGACATGTTTTCATCGCCAAAGATACGAGCCATGAAGTAAGGGGCTGGTTAAATTTGAGTGGGAGATGGGTGATTCCTCGTAAGAGATGTAATTGAAATGTTCCGATCTACCGGAATGAAGTGGAAGTTACCAAGCACAGAAATAATTTAAAAACCTTTATAATGTCTCAGTGTTTTTATTCAGTCATTTTATTTCGTTAAATCTTGGGGCTGAGAGGTAGCTTTTGCCTTTTTAAATGTTTTTGGTTAAATACCTTAAAGGTAGGGATCCTGCCAATGTATTTCGAAAGGATTGCTTCAAACGTTGTTGATATTGTATGACAGTTTTTAACATTTGTCTTTATTCCAGATGCTTGACACAAATGGAGGGTCTGTTTCTGAAGTCGGTTATTGCCGAGTTTCGTAGCTCAGGACTGGAAGAGGCGACATTTGGAGATGTAAGTGCAATTTTTTAAGCTGGCAGTTATTTCGCATGGCGTGCTCGATGTGTCTTTTGAGTTTTTTTTATCCCTGTTATTTGCGCTCGCTTACGAGGCAGTAAGACGGTTGCTTTTATCTTAAGATATCCACGGGTGATGCCAAAATTAAATTAGAGATAGATGAAGATTTGGAAAGCCTTTAGTATGGTCCATCAAAAAGCACTGAGTTAACCGCACCAAACTCGTGACCATGACTTATTTAAGGTATAATTTATTCGCACTGAACCCTTAATCAAGAGATGAGCCTTCAACAGGACCCTTTCGGGGTCACTGCTTGATTTCCTTATGCACGAATCTTTTCTCTCACAGTGCTTCTCTCCGACCAAGAAATTAAAGTGAGCACAGGGGATCTCTTTAAGAAATCAATGAAAATACTTGGGATAGCCTGAGGGGGTAACCCGTAGCTTAAAGCCGAGGGGTAACCCCAGAGGCTAGTCCAAGGGTAACTAACACCCGGTGCCCATGGTGGGTAAGCATTTTTGGAGTTAGGCCACGATAGTGGAGGTACACTCCATGGATTTTTACACAAGTCGTATAAGTGAGAGTTTCCAAACATGGATCGTTAAACACGTTTGCTGATAAAATTTTGTATCTTGCTCATTTAAGGTTTTCCAGCAACTCCTCGATTTTTGTCGCATTGAGGGTAAGTCACTTTTTCATCCATATTGCTGCGACAAGGCAACCAATCAGGAAGAATACAAAAATCATGTGACTCTACCCCCTTGAGTTTAACCGTACTTTGACACTTACGGTTTCTTTGGAGCTTAATGTTATTGTTGTTGTGGAGAGCGATGGCCTTTTCCCGTCTCCTAGATGTACGTTGCGATCTAAACCTTACCTGTCAATAACTCTCCTCGTTGATCTTCTCCCACCAGGTCTTTCCACACTTACGCCATCTCAAGCCGTGGGAGTTTGCTGTCGATTAGGGGCTTGGAAACTACTTTTAGTGGAGTCTGGCCGTCGTGATCTGGAACAGAGAATACGTTTGAATGTCAATCAAGATGACGTATTGTATGCTCTTCAAAGTAAGCCCAGGTGACAAGACACGTGACCATATTTCGAATGGCTTACAAGCCGCTGTTCAGATCATATCGACTCTTGAAATAAGTTTATTTGAAATGCTTCTTTAAGTGATTTGAATTAATGTGATGTGGAGAAACTCTTTCGTTGCTGTATTGATTACGAAGGGATCAAGGAAAACCTAGCTGTTTGAAAATAGGCGTTTCATTTTCCAGATTTCATACTGTATATTTTTGTATTTTTGGGCAATTATTTTTTTTTATAATTTCTCTTCAATAAGTCGAACATGGCTAGAAATTCTTGGATGTATGTCAGATACTTTTATTCATACTTTTGTAAAATAATGTACATATGACGATTAAAAAAGATACTTTTTAGCACACTTTAAAACGAATTCGAATTCTGCTTTTTGTTGTTGTTGTTGTTGTTTCACCCGATTTCAGGTTACTTACGTTTATTTTCTCGACTTCAGTTGGTAGGGGGAGACTGGAACGAAACGGTCAAAAAGCAATCTTTTGGAAGTGGCGGGGAGGTTATGAACCTCGCAAAAAAAAAATCAACAGTTGATATTCTCGTGTTATGAACTTATCCCAATCAACGCTTTCAGATCTCTAGAAGTTTGTATCCCTGCTGTTGCACGGAAATCATTTTAAACCCCATTACTGTTCTTGAATTAAAAGACCGAATGTTTCTTTGTGTAAGTTCCCACGCAAGACAATAAAATATTGTTCCGCTCTTTGTTCTACCGTCGCACCTGTTTGTGTTATTCCTTATTTTCTCTCGTGAATAATTTATCCGGTGATGTTCACTGTCAGGAAAACGCGTTAATCGTAATTCTAGTATTTCTCACACTTTCTGTGTTAGCTCCATCCTTAGATTACTCGGAAAGAAATCCTCTGACATAAGCAGATTTATAAGCTTGTTTGAAAAAGAGTGCGAGAGTTGCTAGTTTTCTGGTTTAATACGATGATAACAAACAGGGAAAATAAAGAATTGATGTGGAAAGCAGCGAAACAAAACAAAGCAGAGATTCAAGACCCTATGGAATCTCTGAGGGCGGAATGTTTATCACGCGGAGTTAACGGGATCGTCGGGTTTGGAAGGTAAGTATTAATTACATTAATTCTTGGAATAATGTCATTTTACAAAATACACTACGGCAAGGTTTCTGAACAGCCTCTCATTTCATTATGCATACAGTTTATGTATCGTTTTTTGCATCCCCAACAAAAATTCAAAGCTGACAAATTCTGTCAACGCTTGATCTGCTCTCGAGACACGCCGGCACAGTTTGCCAGTAGATTTAAATTTACATCGCCAGGATTCATCTGCAGTTGTTTCAAAGTGTTAAAATCCACGAGTTTTGCAATCAAAGGCAGTTATTGCCTAACGGGTGAACTGAACTTAGTTCAAATGAAGGCTGCTGGTGGTATACTGAGTTTTCACTACAAACGACAGACAAGTGACACGACTTTGTTTATTTAGCCGATTTTTTCAGTTTTCACGTGCGATAAATTTTTGTCGGCGGTACGTTTAAAGATTCGCCCGCCTTGGCCAAAATTTGTCTAAAGAAACTACCTCCTATGTGGACAGGCCCTATGTCTGATTGGTACATGGTATCATATTTAGCCACTTTTAAAGATTTGATAACGATGATATGCGGGCGATAAATCGAGTATACCGTGACGTTCCTTTCTTAAGATGTTAGTTTATCGCTCTTGAAGGTATGTCGAGACATAAAAACTTGTTAAAAAAAAAACTATTTAAATCGACTACACAAGAGTGAATACCCAACATTTTTAGGATTCGATTGTAATGTTGCATGGAGCCCAGTTGTCACAACTGCGTACGTTAACGCGTAATATTTTCCAACCATCTGTATAGTGCGAAGGAGTCAGTTGAGCTTAAGCATATTGGTGACTGGATTATGGCAGCAAGATCAAACTAGCTCAGGATAAGACTGAACTTTTAATTATCAGTTCAAGATATTGTCCACGGCCTCCCCTCAGCCAAATTCATATCGGAGATGATGTATCAGTCTCTCTAAAGATCCTTGGAATATAGGACTGAACTAGATTCGATCAGTATTTCCATTTTAGTGATCATGTTTAAAAGACCTACAAGGGCGCGTTTTACCGCATCCCTGGTATAGCAAAAATTAGGCAATATCTATCCCAGGACAATGCCGAGACTATTGTTCACGCTTGTATAACCTCGCCTTTAGACTAAAAGTGTCTGATCAACAGACTTGAGCTTGTTAATAATTCGACATCTCGACTTGTTATTACGTCGAGAGGGTATGAGTATACTATACCGATTCTTAGGCTTCTATACTGGCTTCCTGTACGTTTCAGATTAATTTTCAAAATGTTTTTACTGAATTATAAGGTGTTAAATGGTCAAGTATCTAACTATATCAGACACCTATTGAAATATAAGAACGAAGGCCGCTTACAAAGATTATCAGGGAAATAATTGCTTCCTGAACTCCGTGGCTAATATGGAAACGTATGAAGACGGGGGCATACTCTTTGGCAGGACCGAAACGATGGAACAAACTACCACTGGACATTAAGCAATCATCATTACTGACTGGTTTTAAAAATAAGTCCAAGACTCATCTTTTCAAAGAAGTATTCGATTAGTAATCGTTATTAAGTTATAAAGGGGGTTAGTTTGTATAGAAACTGTGGTGCTGCGTCGGTGGGAGAGTATAGCAGGGTAATTTGCTGTTATCAACTGAGTTGACGTGAGTTGGCCACCGTAAAAGGTTTTAAAGCTGACGTTACGAACGTTAGCTCTTCGCTCTGACGAACTTCAACCTTGAAACTCTTTATCAAAGTTAGCCTCAAAAGTATTGAATAATGAAGTGTAACGAGAAGCTATTTTTCAGGCCTTGTTTTCAATACTGCTTAACTAGTGTTCATTACTATGGAGATCGCGGGGTATGGCGCCCTAGAAATGTATTTCAATTTTCAATTTCAGAGCGCGCTGGTGTGCCCTTTCCTAATCGTGTGTATTATCGGAGCCCAATACGTTCCTGGTATTATCTTTCCTTCCAGACATAAATCTAAATTCCTAATTGGCTCTATTCGTTTTTCCCCTTTCTCCAATATACTTCACTAAAATCACATTTCTTTAAGAGTTGAAAGGTAGTACATGCAATCAAGATTATATTATATCTTGTGCGAGATACTGGAAGTTTTTCGATCCTTTTATTAATTTTTTTTTTAAATCAATGTTTCCTTATATCTCTCTTCTTTATTTTATGTTGCTTTTGCTTTTTTTTTCCCTTTTTTTCAATTCTTTTCAATTTTTTTGTTTTGTTTTGTATTGTTTGAGTTTTCTTTTGTTTGAATCATTTCTGAGCCCACTGTTTTTTTTACCGTGAAGAGACTGGACACGATGCGGTCGTTGTCACAGTAACGGAATAATAAAGCCTTCGTGACTTGCAAAGGGCGCCATATTTGTTACGCACAATAGAGATTGAAACATGGCTGCAACAGCCAGATCGGACGCGCAAATGAGACAGAAATGTAAAAAAATGCTGGGTTCTAAAGGTTCTCAAGATCCGATTGAACGTTTAAGACTACAATGCCTCAGTCGAGGTTCAGCGGGCATTAAAGGAATTGGAAGGTATGATTGAGACTTAGTTGGTTGATTTCAACCTGCGTAAGCCGCTCTAGTATTTCAGTTGGCTTTTGCGAGTAAAGTTGTAGACCATCACTTTTTCCTCTGAAGCTTACGTTTCTCAAAAAATAGGCGTATTTGAGTTTCAATTGCCTCTACTGACGTAAAAAAATGATAAAATGATCTGTGTTTACTAGCCGTACATGAACATCTCTTTGCAATTGTGTAGCATAAACAGTTTTTTCCGGAAAATTCTTTTTGTGCAGCACTGCTTAATTTTGTAATTGGACAGATGTCGATAGAAAAAGTCTTATAAAGTTAAAGGGTTGAAGTTCTATGTCGCTGTGACAGAATGTTAACAGGAAGTGTTCAGTGTTTGCGCTCATCGTTAAAATCATCGACGTTGTGTACAACATATGTTAACTTTGCTACTCTCCTTTCTTTCAGAGTTTTCAGAATTATGGATGATGACAGAAATAGGTCTTTAGACTTCTCTGAATTCAAGAAGGGTATGCGTGAATACGGCCTCTATTTGGATCCTAAGGTACTTTTGTAGCCCTAAGCTGGGGAAGCAAGTCATGTTCAGGGTTTTCCTTCAATACGCATTCTATACTACTTTGTATCGTTGTTTTGCAAAACTAGTAAAGCTTAAGTTAAGTTACCTGAAAGGTTGTCATACACAGCCACCCACACTTGGGTACGTAATAAACTCTTTGATTGTGGTTATGTTTATTAAAACCTCTTGCAGTATAAATAACTGAAATACAGGTCTGGCTAGCAAAGAGTAATAAAGCAATAACGCAAAATATTTAGCTAAGGAGAAAGTGATTGTATTAGCAACCAAGAAGCGTATAATATACGATATAATATATGGACATCTGTCCCAAAATATACAAGCATATATTTTTAAAATGTAAAAAAGAAATGATCCATTACAATTCATTTTATTGCTCAGTTCTCAAGATGGCAATCCTGTGATCTGATTGGCTACTGGTGCAGACATACAAGCTCATCTTGACAGCTTTGATCCCACACAGGCTGCTTTAAATAATTATAATTTCCCCTTACAGCAGTCTTTATAGGGATAGAATAATAAAAACTTGACTTGGTCGTTCATCAATAATTCAAAGTTATTGTATGGCACAAACAGCCTCATTTAAAAACTGCATAAAAATCCCTGTAGGAGGGCAGTACTGTGACCCAAATATTTCCTTGACTGGTTGTCTCACTCAGTCAAATAGTACATACAGTGTAGTGTGACAGAATAAAACCTTTGTAGACAATATGCAAAAATTGTGATAGAGACCTTAAAAATTACCAATTATTTCTTCCTGTGAGAATCATTGAATTATAAACCTGCCTATGGTATAAAACTTATCATGCATGATGTAAATGGCTTTTGTGTGGATATTTACACCGTAATATTTCCTCAGGAATTACAGGAGTTATTTAGTGCCTTTGACAAGGATGGCAGTGGTGTTATTGACTTTGATGAGTTTCTCCTAGCTCTCAGAGTAAGTTTACATAGTATTGGTACAATACCAAGATTATAGTTTGTATTTAAGGAAAAGGATTAGCCAAAGAAACTTCTTAGAAATCGGAAGGTGGTTAAAGAACTACTGAGGTATTAAAACCATCATTGATTGCCTAAAAGCAATAATCTTACAAAAAAGAATTCTTTAAATATAGAATAGGCTCCCTAAACACCTACAAAATGGTAAGGCAGTGAAACAAATGTGCAGTCTAACATCTTTAAAATGTGGCTCTTTGACCCCAAAACTCTTACGTTCAAAGCTTGCTTTTTAGCTGCAAATTCAAGTTTGAATGTGCAGTCAGGCATTATCCATGGAAATCTGTTTACTTGGACACACTTTACAGACTGAATCGGACTTCACTCACTCCAGTTACTATTGTAAACATTAATCAAATGCCACAGATTTAGGATTATGGGTTTATACTTTGCTCTCATAATTTTCCAGCCACCAATGAGCAAAGCCAGGAAAGATATCATTAATGAAGCATTTAATAAACTGGATAAGACAGGAGACAGTGTTATCACAATAGATGATCTCAGAGGGTAAGTGTGCTGGATATTTAAAAGGGCCTCATCTTTCAGTTCAATTTATAGCCATATGAAACTCTCTGGTTTCAGTATCTCCTAAGATCACATCAGCGATTCTCCTTACTGTCTGCCTAACAATTCTTGTGATGTGAATATGAAAGCGATCTTCACAGTAATGAACACTACTTGAGCAGTAGTGAAAATAAGGCCTGAAAAAAATTCAGGCCTGTACAGGATTTGAACCCATGACCTCTGCAGTACCATTGCAGCACTCTACCAACTGAGCTAACAAGCCAATTGGGAGCTGCTCATTATGTTGGTTCCAAATAAACCTGTAAAGTAGTGAATAAACGACTGTGAATATATGAAAGCCATATATTTGAACTGCAGATAAAAACATGAATATGAAAGTGATCTTTACAGTAATGAACACTACTTGAGCAGTAGCAAAAATAAGGCTTGAAAAAAATATTCAGGCCTGTACGGGATTTGAACCCACTACTGCGCAAGTAGTGTTCATTACTGGGAAGATTGCTTTTTATATTCACGTCTTTATCCGCAGTTAAAATTTTTGACTTTCATATATTCACAGTTGTTGATTCTTGTGATATTAGTTCAGAGAATTTGGCATTGGATCAACTTATAATCCCCTTATTGATATTTTTCTTTATTTCCATCACTTACATGTATCTGCTTGAAATTTTGAGGAGAAATTCTGTCTTGGTTACTCATGGTCAAAAGAAAAGCCAGTTATATTTTGGACAGAATAATAATTCTTTGATTTTTCCTCTCTGCTGGTGGAGGAAAATTCCAAAATTTACCTCATCTGGGAGAATTTAAGTTAAATATATCAGAGACCAAGAGATTTGTTTTCAACACTGTTTGTTATTTTTGTTGTCAGAATAATAATATTAATTATTTTATTATCAAAATTGATTCAGAGTTTATAATGTGAAGATGCACCCTAAATACCAGAATGGAGAAATGACAGAGGAGCAGATTTTTACAAAATTTTTAAATACATTTGAAGTGGGCAGCAATGAAGTGGATGGAACGGTAAGATATAAGAGGGTTCGTTGTTCCTCTTTTCAGAGTTTTTCATGTTACATGTATGCAGTGCAGTAAATTACCAAATGATAGTTGCATGTAATCTCAAAATTAAAGTGATAGTATTAAAAGGGAAAACCAGAAAAACATGAGTCTACTTTTAGACTAATGCACCAATCAATTTGAAGCTTTAACATTTCTTCCCCCCTTACCCCCCCCCCCCCCTCTAAGCAACCCATGGGCATTTGAGCATCATCCATGCCTGAGAGGAGAGGAATTTGAAACTTAGCTGGCTGGGGTGGGGAATTTGAACCCAAAGTGTCTAGTATTTCCAGTGGTATGCAAGTGTTATATCTGTACAGAGGTATGTAAAGATAAGTAGTTCATTTTCTGATGTGAATTGCTAAGATGATAACTGGTCTAGGGTTTTAAAGCCTGGTCAATGCGTAGAAAGTTGTGGTTTCTAATTTTGCCTTTCATGAAAAAATTATCATCAAAACCGACACTTGGGTGGGGCATTTGAACACAGTTTTTGGGCAGGGGGGCTGAGGAAAAAGGATTTTGAGCAAACCAGTCTTCAAAAGTTCAAACGCTTGGAATTGCTGGTAACTGGCTTTGATTGAAAGCCCTGGTTTTTCTTATCTGATAGAGCAAAGATTCCTACACTAAATGTGTTAGTTCAGTGTATGGCACTTGGCTCTGGGTTGAAAGATCCACTTTTGAAGCTTGGCTGTGTAATAGAAATTGCTAAACATTTAAAACTTCCCTTTTTCTGTTACTCTTCCAGATTACTCGTGACGAATTCATGAACTACTACGCTGGTGTCAGTGCCTCGATAGACAACGATGCCTACTTCATCCTCATGATGAAAAATGCTTACAAAATCTAAAGAAATTCCTCATTTCTGTCGTAAATTGATATAGGACACACCTTGCACAGCATTCTTTAGAACTATTACTGTTCTGTAGCATACTGTTCAGTGCTAGCTGGAGGTCAAGAGAAAGTTGTTCAGGACAATTTATGTGACAGCTCTTAAAATAATTGCATCCTTTGGGCCAGTGGACCATTTCTTGTACATAGTAGAATGGAAGCATTTGATGCTTGTAGAAACATTTACCGGTAATCAAATATTAAATGATACTTTTATTATTTCAACCAAGGATTAATTCTGAAGTTTTTCTGATGCCAATTTTTTTTTATTTTTTTGACTCCATGGTTTTTAACAAGGTCTAAATTCAGATGTGTTGTAGGTTAAAAGAAAAAGATGCCAACTGGAATTCTACTAAATGTACTTATTTCAATGTTCAACAACAGTTCCTTAAACCATGTAAATTCTTGAAAAATTCCATAGTCGACCACATTCCTGAGTTTAGAGTTTTAAAATACAATAAAATAATGTTTATCCCATTAGCTGTGATAACTTCATGCAAAGCCCCATTTGACAGGGACGAGCAGCGACTCTAAGAGAAGGTCCTTACGTAATCTGAGCGACCGCTATTACAGAGTTATCTTTAGACTGCTGTGGACCGGTTTTGCAATACGGAAGGACTTTCATCTTACAAATTTTGACTGTTTGAGGTTAATTTAAAAGACTGATCCTTAAATTTCAAATTTTCGCAAGCCGCAGCGTTTGGGACGTGTAGGTATTTGGTAGGATTCTCGTTTAACACGTTTTCGCCATTGTATCCGTAAACTTTCATTTGCCGCCTCTTTCATAAACTTAAAAAGGCGTGGACGATAGAAATGCAAACACAATTGTACGTGGCATATCCCTTCGGAGAAGTTACACCCTTACGATCCGCCATAGTTCTGCACGAAAATCCGCCGTAACTTCCAGAATGTTCGATAAGCTACGTTAAGCATTCAGAAAACATGTCGAGTTGGCGTTTAAATGGAAAGATTTCCCTATAACTCCACACAATTCTAAAACAAAGGCCTTTTTTCCAAGCTAAAGTCTGGTTCCCCTATTGTTTTCGTTTGTTTTAAAACCGCATATATAATGAATTTGCATGGTTATTTTGATTCTTACAATGGATGATGACAATGTAAAGAAATTAGCTAAGCTTCAAACTAACAATAAAAGTACTCTTTCAAAGCACATCCCATGGGAAGGGCTACGCCATATGTATTATATATATTGTGGTTCTGCTTGCAAACTTTATTACTGCCAAGTAATTTGTAGAACCTCGTTTGGCATCGAAGGAACTCGGTAAGTTGACCATTTATTTCCCATTTTAGCGTTTTACTCAACAATCTGCATAGTTTAGGATAACTGTAAACAAGTTTAGAGTAAGCCAAACGAAGAACGACGATCAATGAGGGTAATGCACGTTTGAATGGTCTAGTTTGCTCATGGTATATCATCAAACTTTTAATAGAAATTGTTGAACTTGATCTCTGCTATCCCAGTAGAATGTGGACATTACAACCTTTTGTTGGCAGTTCTCTTAATATTAATAAATGTCATTTTCATGTAACATTTTTTCGAAGAAGAAGTTTTCATTTATTTTTTTATCCAAGCAGTGTTACATATTTATTTTGTATTTTCACAGTCGAGATACTTGCAAAGTCAGGTTGGAATCCACCACATAACAAAAGCTTTGCAGACTTTTTGTTAAATCACGTATTACAGGCGTTTCGTAGCCTCGCACGGCGTAATTTAAGTGCGGTAGATTTCTTACACACACATTTACAAATTTTTGCTTTCGTTATGACCCGTGCTTATTGATGAGGGTAGCCATTGTTTCATTTTCTGAAGAGTTTTTATTCTTTTGATTGAAATATACAATAAAATATTCTTCGTCAGCATGAAACGAAATAAATTCTGTTTTGAAATGCAGAAAGCGATGGTTTGAACCGCGAACTTCGCATTAGATTACCAGTAGTCCCTCTTTTTCGGCAAAGTCCGTCGCGCGAATCAAAAATATAAATGAAAAAAATAATCCATGTTAGCTTGCAGGAACGCGTACACTTGAACCATGAATGTCAAGGGACAGAGTTAAGTCCAATTCTGTCTGTGATATTATGGGTGATCAATCTAATTGTAAATGAATGAGATTATGAATGAATGACATGACATGATGATTCACGACCAATCAGCATGCGCGCGTTCTTTTGATCACTTGAGCAATTATACGAAAAATTGAGGTTATAATCTTTTGTGCACATGCCTGCAGTGTAGTTTGGCTGTTTTAACCAAAGAGATGGAAGAGATCATCCAGAAAGTCAAAGATGCTTGCGCAAAAAGGGGAATCACTGGATTGTCCGAACTGGGCAAGTAAGTTAAAGGTTGCAGGTTGCCAATACAAAGGGTTTGATTTACTCTTTAACAATAAAAAAAAATATTGAAGACCGGTTACTATTTTTTCAGGGGAGGGGGGTGAGGGGGTTTTTGGTTGTTTTACCATGAAATTTCCCTAATCCCCCCATGAGGCTCTGTAATAGTCCTGGCCCTGGCCCCCTTTCTCATTGGTAGTTAATTGGCAGTCAATTAAAAAAATGATATTACAACATTATATATTTTCTTGATGAATCTCGAGTCCTTTTTTTGAAGAGATGTTATCATCAGACGACCCTGTAAAGTCAAAATAGACCAATGAAACTCTAGGACTTACACCTCCTGATGCATACTCTGTTTATTTTTTTTTATCTCAAGGGAAGGGCGCTTATTCGAAACAGGGCGCCAAGCAATCGTCGCAAAATTTTAGAACGAAATCTTTCGTTTGAAGGAACTGCGCACTCACAGCGACTTAAAAGTTGAGAGACCGAGACGCAAACCACTTTTTTGTCGTGAGGCTTTAAGTGACCAATTAAAGGAAGATGGACCATGATTGATCTCAATGTACATGTACTTTAACAGTGCATTACTAAAACATATTGGGGGCGTTTTTTGGTATAGGGACGCTAATTAGAATGAGGGTGCTTACTCAATAGGGGCGCCTAGAAGCTAGGAATAGGGGCGCTTTTTGACAAAAACGAATTCGGGGGGGGGCGCTTATTGGAAGGAGGGCGCTAAATTAAATCATTACGGTACCCTAGAATATATATACCCTATCGACAGCCTCGTCCTCCCCTCCCTCCACCTTTGACTCCTGTCTCCACCCCTGTGTAGCAGGAGACCCTCTCCCCACCCCCCATCAGCATCCCCTCAAGATCTAATCGTGAATTCTCCCAACCTCCAGTCGCAACACATTTCCCTGTGAAATAGGTGTGAGAATGTGGTGTTAGATCACAATAACAAATTTTACCTGATAAGTTTGAGTATTTTCATTACCTGTTTTATGGAAAATGTATGGATGTCATAGGGAGAGGTTACATGTTAATCACTTCTGGGAGTTAAAGAGTTGGCCAACAAACCTCACATTCTTTTAGTGCTTGTGCCGTTTAACAATTCAAATGTTTTTTTTCCATCCTATGCTCAGGGCATTTGGCAGACTTGATGACGACGACAACAAATCATTGTCTCTGGAAGAATTGACTGAGGGTCTGCGTAATTTACAAGCTGGTTTAACCAATGAGGTTGGTATTACGTGCAGTTAACTTGGTTCGAAGAGGTGGGGTGGGTAGGGGGGGGGGCGCGGGGGGGAATTCAACTGCGTATAACAGGAAATACCCGAGGTCAGTCGCAAATAAAAGTTGGTTGAGAGCATATTCTGCTCCTCAAGTTTGCCAGTCAAATTCAAATACCATTGTAATTTTTAAAATGTTGATAATTTTTCGTAAATAAATTATTGCAGATTAAATGCGCTTGTGAGAGTCGATAGTTTTTTTTTTTTTGAGTTCGATTTGTCTGATTAGTAAGCTAAAGTTCTCATCACAGCAACTGTGTGTTTTTTTCGTTTTCCTTAATTTGTTTTTTTTTATTGTTGAAATACTAACAACTTTTTGAGCCTTCCGAAAATTCACTGTGTTATTATTAAGGTCACTTTGCATGGATGATTGAAGCCGTGAAACGATCCTTTACCAACCAGAGAGCTTGCATCTTTAGAATCGCCAGAGTAAAACCAAGAAAACAGAGACCTTTCATTTGCCTTAAATTTCGTGACCTATCAATTTCATTAAAGATAAAGGAGTGGAGCGCTTTTCAATCGCGCGTCGAGCCTTGTCCTGAACTCAATTTAATCGGTTACTTTTATTCTTGGACTGTGTCTCGACAACCCCACGTCACTCGCTTAATCAGATATAAAATAAAACCAAGCATCATTGGGCCCGTCGCGTTTTCCTGCGCTTGTGCTTGTTTTTACTTCAGTCCTCATTGCTTCCGTGTGATGTTTCCTGCGTTGCTTAGTTATTCTTATTTTTGTTTTTCATTTTTTACATCATTTGAATTTTATTTGCGCATCTTCAGGAGGCTACGATGCTTTTCAATGAAGTTGACAAAGACGAAAAGGGAGGCATTAATTACGAGGCGTTTTTGGCTTTGATACGGGTAAGAAATCAGTTTCAGTTTTGAGTAAGTTAGATTATAAATTCCGACTTGAAATGGTGTCAAAATTTAATAAGAGAAAATTTTGCAAAACGAGGTGGAGGCAAATTTGTCACTTTTATTCATCTACCTTTGGATGTCATCTGTGATCTGTAGTTAAACATACGCCCAGCAAAATGGAATCCATCGTCTGTAAGCAGCAAAGGAAAGAAATTTTAAGCTTGCCTCATAGCACTCAACTATTCTGGATTTATTTTTGGACAGGTCATTGTTTATCGCTCGGGAAGAAGGGGGGTTCAGAGGAGGTTTTTAAGGGGAGCAGGGGGGGGGGGGACAGTCGTCGCCAACAGACTATAAAGGAGAGACTATAACAAATTTACTGCGAGCCAACTGCCAATGATCGGAGATCATAAGAATATCCTAAAGCCTTATGGGGGGATCAGGTGAATTTTATGGTGACAAAACCAAACTCCTTCCGTCCTCCCCCCGCCCTCTTTCAGGCGAGGGTTTTTTTACAGGTTGTTAGTAGCACGCTTTATTTCCTCATACACACAGTGTCACTTCCCGTTTCTGCAAAAAAATTGTCGTGAAAATTTTCCA